CGTGAGAAAGACCGGGTGACATCGCTTGTCACATAATAAACAATACAAGGTGGATGCCCTTAAAATTACTTTTAGCAGATGATAAAATAATATAAAGGTTCTCTCAGTCTCATAATTACAATGCTGCAGGTCTTTAGTCATGCTTATTATTTTCACTAAGATGTGTCAAGCGCAACATCCTTTAAATCAGAATATAAAATAGATTACAAAAAATAAATTTCCATCTACAACTGTCCGAGTCAACGCATTTTTAGAGAACCCAATAGATATTTGGACAAGGTTTTCTCCAAAGAACAAACATACAGCGGACAGTAAAAACTTGAACGTCATTCAACATAGATTAGTTAAAATGTTGTAGGCTCTGTTTGTTTGATGATGGCAGTGGTTTGTGCATTTTACTGTCATAGCTCTCTAGCATTTACTGAAAATGACTTATAAGTCACTATGGTGATATTTCAAGTTTAGTAACATCTGAAAATGTGTTTATAAGACGGTAATCAAGGAGCCTCCAACGGCATCTTCTGCCATTTCTTGAAAAGCGGCGTATAAAGTCGGATTAAAAGAATGTGAAATAGTTAAACTCTATTACTTTAATTTTGAGAGGTGTCAGAAGCTATGATCGAAGCATGAGTATCACAGACAGGCTTTACTTTATTAAGATGATTATGTACAACGACAATCTCCTTGAGAATCTAAATTGTCTAAATTGTTTCTAGGGGCAATTGTAAATGTGTATTTCAGCATAAAAAGTGTTGCTAGTAAAAAGTCAAACATATTAAGAGGTGGTATCTACCGAGAGCAGAGCAACGAAAACCTTAAAAAGCAAATAGTTGAAAATTTTAAACTTAGTATAAATATATCTGTTTAGAGAAAATGGAAGGTGCAACATCCCTCTTAGATGAAGTACGACTATCACTCAGCTTAACAACTGTTGAAAGTTTGCTTCTACTACTGTGTTTGTTTGAGTGAGGATTTTACGTTAATACACATGTCATATGCAGTACATTTCCTTCTCCCTCTTGAGCCTGTGACTATTGATGTTCCTTTCTTTTTAATTTTACGGAATTTGTTTTCAATTATTGAACCCAGAATCAAAACATTGACACGAAAAACATTTATTGTAAAAGAAATTTTCGCAGCTACATCAAGGCTATAAACTGTCAAAGAAATAAATTGTTTTTTACGAGAGCAATGTTCGTAAACACAAGCAGCTCTGATGAGTAACGTGCAGTAACGATGCGCTGGGATAAGATTGTGAGGACGCAGTCTTTCACGATCATGACAAAGAAAGTAAGCGACGTATATGTATTCTGTATGGCCGACTATAAATTGCGTGTTTTTAAAAAAAATCTATTTAACATATTGATGGTGACAGAAGTTGACGGAAATGGCAACCTAATATTGCGACGTTATTTTATTGTTGCATTATTGTTATAAACGAATGTAATAATTTACTCTTTTATATCCTCTGAATTGAATTACGAATTTCTTTTTCTATGTCTCAATGCTTTCAATTTAAAAATGTCGATGTAATCAAACATGCTGTATTGACTCAGCAACAGGTTCTTATCCTGAACCCTTAATCTGCACTTACAACTTCGACAAATAAAATAACATTTGTTGAAGTTTGTTTCCATATCAGTCCAATTGAACCGCGAACGAACCAAAGCGTCTCATCACAAAATACCGCAGCCAGCTTTGTCAAAGACTTCAAGCAATGTGTTTTCGGAATCATTGATAATGATTGACCAGAAAAAATACAACAGCATTTAATATGAAGTCTGTGCGACTCTATACAGCAAACACATGTCAAGAAAAAGATATCTTATGTTTTTCTTCACCTTCCACCACTGATACGACATCTTAATTTAGGTTTCTAAGAATGTATAAGTAGTTATATTTTTCCACTGTCCACAGTCCCATTCCGATGGGGTAAATGACAGAAGGTACCTGATAAGGGATCTTATCATTAGAAAGGAAACACCAAATACATGAATGGAAACCTGCAAAAGAAAATGTTGCAGGATTTGTCTTACGTATAGTCTGGTTATGGAGGCAGAAGTGAATGACTCGTTTACGACCATCTAGGGCAGAATTCAAAATAAAATTTACGTATGAAAATGGTTTAATTTAAATATCCATGTCAATTCGTCTGTGATGTTGTAGCGTTTAATTCGACACTTGCCTTTCACTTCAAGACAAATGGAAAATAGTATCAATTATAAAAAACGTGTTAACCATAAACGAAAAAAACAATGGATGGAAATAAATGAATATGAATTTTAAATGAGAGTAAAGCAATGTAAACTGATTTAACAGGATGGTAGGAGAGTTCCGGTCGTCAAACGACAATACACCACAATCGTAATAGAGTCAAAAGACAGGAGACCGTTTTCACGCTCAAGACATCACCTTGCGATATAAAGTAAATTAGTGTCGGTTCAAATCAGTGAAAAGGGAATTATTGAAAGGTTTTGCCACGCAACAAAAGCTCGGATTGAAATATGGTCATGAGAGATAATGAAAGGTGCAAACTCTTTCCTGTCCCTAGGTCACAAGTAATTGGAAATCCCGGACAGTCGGTGCGTGGCGGGAATAGTATACATGTACATGTTCACGACCTAGTCATTATATATTGACGTGCCAAAGATAGTAGACTCTGAGATATTTTTGTTCTAGTCAGATTCTCGCCTCTACGTCAAGACCAGAAACAGACTTTTCTGCGGTGAAACGTAGATTTAGGTGTAAATGAACAGGGTGATAGTTTTTCTACCTTGTATGTCTTTATAATATATATAATTATATATATGAAAATAAAAGATCATTTAACATTCTTTTGTGGTTTTACTGAAAATATGATGTTTAAAAAACATTTTGAATAAAAAATATTTTATTTATTTAAAACGTGGGCGTGATCATGTACATATGTACTATCTCAACCACGCACCGACTGCCTGTGATTGGAATATGACAACAGAAGACACACATCCACGTATAAAAAAGAGACAAAAATAGGATTTTAGTTGAACTTGCCAAATACTTACTTTCATTAATGATCAACATTATTTTTTGTCCAATCACATTGTAGTATTTTTCAAATTTCTGCTAAGTCTAACTTTGGTTAATGTGTACTAACTAAATAAAATTTACTTAATCTGTCGTCTAACCTGAGTCTAACAAATTTCAATAATGCATTATATTAGGGAGGAGTTAGAGGTGTGGTTTTCACTCTGAATTGTAAATAAATTTTAATGATCAACATTATTTTTTGTCCAATCACATTGTAGTATTTTTCAAATTTCTGCTAAGTCTAACTTTGGTTAATGTGTACTAACTAAATAAAATTCACTTAATCTGTCGTCTAACCGCAGTCTTACAAATTTCAATAATGTATTATATTAGGGAGGAGTTAAGAGGTATGGTTTACACTCTGATTTGTAAAATGTCAAGGTTAGCAAAACAATGCCAACATAAAAAAAATAATTGTCGAGGTCAGGTGTTTCTAAATGTGATGATATAATCAAATAATTTATTACATAGATAATACATGTTGGGCACGCAGAGACAAATGATTGCATAGTAACTTTTTTATATCCTTTTAACTCTAAGAAAAATGTCTGTTATAAATTGCTGACTGTTTTAAACTTAATATTTTCCAAAACATAATTTTTTTCACTTGATAGGAATGAACTGCATTTACAATCATTGATATTAAGAATACAATGATTACATTTTTTGGCTGGAAAACTGATTGTTAATGGACCCCTCCACCTGTAAACCTTAATTGATACACAGAAAAAATTAAAAAAAAAATGAACTGTTTTACTGTAGATAAAGGTATAAATTCTGTGACATTTCAGTAAAATTATATGTTGAAAGGGCCATTTATTTAGCTTATCTAAATGTGATATGTTAGAGACTTGACAAGGTGTAGACATCTTGTACATAGAGCAAAAGGGCGGAGCTATCGGTGATTTAGTGAAATGTCTTGATCATTAAATAGGTTAATGTTTAATAATATGCATTAACAAAAATAATTGGTCGCCTGCCTGCGGCAGGCTTGACCAATTATTTTTGTTAATACATATTATTAAACACTAACCTATACTTAGTTTCTAAATGTGAGGATACAGTCAATTAATTTATTACATAGATAATGCATGTGGGGCATGCAGAGACAAATGATTACATAGTAACTTTTTTATATCTTTTTAACTCTAAGAAAAATGCCTGTTATAAATTGCTGACTGTTTTAAACTTCTTTTTTTTTCTAGAAAAAGTAACCAGAACATAATTTTCTTTCAGTTGATAGGAATGAACTGCATTAACAATCATTGATATTAAGAATACAATGATCATAAATATATTTTTTGGCTGGAAAACTCATGGTAAATGGACCCCCTCCACATGTAAACCTAGATTGACACACAGAAAAACTGTTTTTCAAATGAGCAAATCAATAGGGATTTTAAATGTTAGTGAATAACTTAAAGCTAATAATGTATAAATTATTAATCTAATGTATTTTCTTACATTTTCCATTTATTTATAAAAGATGTACACATTTCATTAACTCCATTGTTTTTACCAAATTGCACCATTTTTCTCGCTGTTTTTTTTAGCATGATAGTCTTACTGTAGATAAAGATATAAATTCTGTGACTTCCGGTAAAAAATGTGCCTTATTATTTGTTGATAGGGCCATTTATTTAGCTTATCTAAATGTGATATGTAAGAAACTTGTCAAGGTGTAGACATCTTGTAGAGCGAAAGGGCGGAGCTATTGGTGATTTAGTGAAATGTCTTGTTTTTGGTTGAAAAAATAATGTTGATCATTAAATAGGTTAATGTTTAATAATCTGCATTAACAAAAATAATTGGTCGCCTGCCTGCGGCAGGCTTGACCAATTATTTTTTTTAACACATATCCAAATCGCCCTGGATTACTAAAAATCGGCTTTCAGAACTTAGATGAAAAAATCTTAGTACTAAGAAATAAAATGACACTGAGAGACAATGCTTCATACAGAGAGCTGTATTTGAAAAGTTGCAAGTCTCATATTGAGAGACTCGTAGAAATGAACGCGAGAGCAGTGCTTCGTCAGTTACCGCAAGGAAGGCAGTACCGCGTTAACGCAAACGGTCGCATCATTCAACGTGCACGACATCAGGATGATATGGAAACACCGCACAATTCAGACTAGGGAGAACCCCGACCTTACAGGTCAATAAAGTTTGCTCACTTGAATATATGTGGTTGGACACGTGAAAACTGTGAACTTAGAGAAAAAATAATGACTTCACTTAACTCGGATATTGTTTTGTTATCAGAAACTCATTTAGGCGACCAAAGTGTAATAAATATAAACGGATATACATGGTTTGGATTTAACAGGGCCAATATTCATAGAAACGCACCAAAACCGTCAGGGGGCGTCGGTCTCTTAGTGAAAAACCTAGCTTTATTTAGTGAAACATATAAAGATGTTTATATTTGTAAACTTATTATCATTGCTTACTCTAAGAGATTGGAGGAGGAAGGGCCAGGATTTTCGGTTATATGAACTTTCCGGAAATTGTTAACCATTTCGGTTTTCTAGATGAGCCTCGCTTTGAAAAGCGTCACTTTCGGACCACAGACTTTGTCATTTCAGAGAAGTTTCATAATTTGTATTTTTATCTCGCATTTCATAGGTTTTAGCAACCAATTTTATGCTAATATTGTTCTATTCTTTAATAGTATCTGTTATTTTACTATATTCGCTTCAATTTTGGCATAATTTCTATGTCTTTTGTAAATCAATTTGCGGACATGATTTGACCTACTTTTTGCGCGTGGGTTTCAGAACAAAGAAAGACATAATCTACAACTATTTATTATTCAAACGTGCTGTTATTGTGAAGTTTGCCCTTGAGAAGTCACTGTATAGAAAATGGCTCTTAACTTTCTCATTTTGGGGCATTCATTTGCGAAAAGATTGTCGAGGTGGTGTTGCCATAATAGCTTATATAACCTTAATTTAGATAATAAAAGGATTCAAATTTTCTGGCATGGTGTTGGTGGTGCTACTGTGTCCAATCCTCACCACCACAAGTCTTTGTGGTCCGAAATCCACCTTGTGTCTGATTTGAATGTGAAAGTTACTGTCTTAGACATTGGCTCGAATGATTTATGTAATCATGATGCCAGTGCAGTTTCTGTTGCCAGTCATATAGTTTCTTTGGCAGAGGCGATCCTTTTAAAAGGCTGTGATATGGTTGTTATTTTTGAGATATTGCAAAGACAGTCCCAACCTGCATTTAATGCTAAAGTACAAGAAACTAATCAGATTCTTAGTGACAAATGCTCTAATCACCAAAATTTGATATTTTGGTCTCATTCGAGAAATAATTTCAACATTCGTTTCCTTAGGGACTATGTTGACAAAGATGGAATACATGTTGATTATGTGAGAGGCATGCCACGCTATTATACATCAGTAAGGGGTGCTTGCTTACTTGCAGAACAATTCCATGGCACATTGTCTTAATATGTTAGTCACAAATGCAGTTTCATTGTATATAATTTAGTATTAACACTTTTCGTTCTCTTTACAGGTTTGCTGTCACTTTGAATTGTTGAACAAAAATCAGTGCATAGATTGACATATTTTGAATTGTATGCGTTGAGTGATATTTTCTACAGTGCCAGACGAGCTTCCACTATTTACGTGGGTTTATTTTTGTTTTATATTTTCACAAACTTCATAGCATTTTTGCTATATTTTCTCTATTGTTGTAAAACAGTTGCTCAGTTGGAATATACAGTATCCTTTAGCAAACTATTGTCTGTTATACAGCATAGTCTATATTATAGTCTATATTGGGACTGTTGTTTGTCCAACTTTCTGTCTTTTAAATCACTTATATCTGCATGTTTTATCTATGTTCTTAGTTTTATAGAGTTTTGTAATGATCAATAAATCCGTCTGGCATGCTCTCATGCCAGACATGTTCAATCCAAAACTGTGTTGTGAATTCCCTTTCAAATTTTCGACAGAAATAAAACTACAAAGGCACATAGGCACAAATATAAAACTGGATTACTACAGAATATGATATTAACTTGGTGGATAAATCTTACGATGGAATATTAGCGGTACAATTTATACATAAACAAACCAAATATGATTTTACAGTATTTTCATGTTACCTGCCCACAGAGAACTCAACACGTGGTCGCGACTCTCAGGGATTCTTCTCCCATTTGTTAGCCCAAATCTATGTTAACAGTGAAAGTGACACAATAATCGTAGCAGCCGATTTTAATTCACGAATTGGGTCATTATCGGATATATTAAGTGAGTTGGACTGTATTCCGCAAAGAACAGTGCTAGATAAAACAATCAATCAACATGGACATGCATTTATTGAATTTTTAAACGATGCGCGATTCTGTGTTTTAAATGGAAGATTTAATATTAACGATGATAATTATACATCTGTTTCCCGCAAGGGACGAGCTGTAGTGGATTACTTGTGTGTACCGCAAGACAATCTTCACCTATTCGAAGGCTTTAAAGTTATTACGGTACAGTCTATTGTTGACGCGCACGGACTTCACGGATTACTGGGCGAAAGATCAAGGCTACCAGACCATAACATACTTATCACGGAATTTAACACTTTGAGTAGTGAAAATGTAGGCCAAAGTTGTGACAATCATGAACGGATTAACTGTCCCCGCTATAACTTGCAACGAATTCCCGTGGACTTCATGTCAAGCGATTTATCCCGTCTGGCTCTGTTGGATATTATATCAAGTATTGAGAGTAGCAGGGAAACACAAACTCAGGTAAATATTATTTATGAGAAACTGTGCTCCTGTATCAGAACTGAAATGAATAACTCGGTGCCAAAATTCAGTGACTCAAAACCTGTAAGAAAAAGATACAAAAATAAAAAGCCACTTTGGAATGATCGTTTAACGGAACTATGGAGTGATTTGAGCGCCAATGAAAAACTTTATTCCAAGTGTAATGGTACTCGCACGGTGAGAATCGCGAGTAGAAGAGAGTATATAGCTGTAAGAAATACTTTTGACAAGGAATTACGGACCGCGGAGCGTCAATACCGGGCGGCGATTGCCCTTGACATTGAGGACACGTCAACAAATAATCCAAAAGACTTTTGGAATAAAATAAATAAACTTGGGCCTAGAAAATGTAAAGACATTCCTATTGAAATCATAGACAGCAACGGCCGAGTGTGTCACGACGAAAGTTCTGTATTCGAGCGATGGAGGTCGGATTTTGAGAATTTATACCATACGAGCGATAATACTGACTTTGACGAAGATTTTTTCGACCGTAACAAAGTGCATAAACAATTATTGGAACTAAACATGTTAGATCCGTTATACTCTGAAAATGAACAGTTGAACAGTAACATAACAATCGATGAAATAACAAATATCGTTATGACGGCAAAGTCAAGGTCAACCTGTGGATACGACCAAATTCCATACGATGTCCTAAAATTTCCTGACATTATAGTGGTGTTACAGCAACTTTTCCAACTGATAATGGATACCAGTATTATACCGACTTTATGGCGGAAATCGATTATTTGCCCGGTCTTAAAGGACCCAACTAGCGACGCCCGTCTACCAATGAACTACAGGGGTATAAGTTTGTTATCCTGCGTTAGCAAACTGTACAGCTCTTTCATTAACAAAAAACTAATCAAGTATTTAGACGACAACGATATTCTAGCCGAAGAGCAGAATGGATTTAGACATGGCCGTTCATGTGAGGATCATGTCTTCACATTAGATAGTATTATAAGGGACCATAACTCTGTATTTACTGCTTTCATAGACCTACGCAAATGCTTTGACTTTGTCGACCGTGAAATGCAAATGTATAAACTTTTGCTAAATGGTGTCGATGGAAAATTATACAATTCTATAAAAAGCATATACAATCATACAGTGTCATGTGTGCGTATTAATGGACGATTAACGGAGTGGTTCCAGTGTGTCAACGGGGTAAAACAGGGAGACAACCTCTCACCGACGCTCTTCTCGGTCTTCGTGAATGACCTTGTGACCGAAATCAACAACCTTGACCTTGGGGTCAAAATCGATGACACTTCGGTCTCAATGTTGCTATATGCCGACGATATAGTCCTTATCGCAAAGTCGGAAGCAGATCTACAGATAATGCTTAACCAAATGCATGACTGGTGCAAGCGATGGCGGGTTCTCGTAAACACAGAAAAGTCTAAAGTCGTACACTTTCGAAAAGGCCGCACACAACGGACAGAATATGAATTTAAAATTGGATTGAATGTGCTGGAAATTGTAGACAAATATAAGTATCTCGGTGTTATCATGCATGAGAAACGCGACTATAGTTTTCATTGTGAAATACTTTCAAAAAGTGCCGGGAGAGCTCTCTGATCTATTATAAATAAAATTCATAATCTGAAACAAACTGGATTTAAAACTTACGAAAAACTATACAATTCCTGTGTGATACCAATATCGGATTACTGTGCTTCCATTTGGGGATATAAACACTACCAATCAGCGGAAAATATTCACCACAGGGCGATACGGTACTTTTTAGGTGTACATCGATTTACAACTATATTAGCGTTACTCGGTGAAATTGGATGGCTACCCAGCATGTACCGTAGATGGCTCGCAATGATCAGGTATTGGAATAGACTGGTAAAACTTTATGAGAATAGACTAACCAAGCGTGCATTTAATAGAGATTACAGCTCGCCAAATAACAGTAACTGGTGCAGTGATATTAAAACCGTTATGTCTAGACTTCACCTAACGGAGTATTACAATATGAAACTCGCTGTCTCAATGGACTTAGCCAAAGAAAACATGAACCAGTTTTATTCAACCCTTTGGTCTAGAGATTACGAACGAGTATCAAAGTTGAGAACGTATAGAACATTTAAAACTGAGTTTACTTGTGAGGAATATGTTAAGTTGAACTTAAAAAGAAATGAACGGGCTTTATTTGCTCAATTCAGAACCGGAATACTTTCACTTAGGGTTGAAACCGGACGGTATGTGGGTGAATCCCCTGAACAAAGACTGTGTAAGTTGTGCAATAGCGGACTAGTTGAAGACGAGACTCACTTTCTTGTTGAATGTGCTCTTTATAGTAACACAAGATCTGTTATATTTGGAAACATTTTAAACTGTGATGAATTTATACGCAAATCAAACAAAGACAAACTTGTTTTCTTGGTTCAAACTCCTAGAAAATGTGCAAAATTTATTGTTAATGCTTATTATATCAGAAGTAGTATGTTATATACTAGTATGCGGTGATTTTCATCAGTAAATACCTTAGATTTTCATCCTTTATTTTGTCTGTGTAAAGTTGTACATATATATGAACCTCATGTAACATTATCGATTATTTCCCACATTTTCTTGAAAAGGTCATTTGTTTTAACTTTTATTTAATTTATAATACGGATATATTGTAATTTGAGAAACAGCTATGACAACTTTCAACTAAATGTTACGGTATCACGACAACTCTTATGATATTAAGCGTTTATACTGACTCTATACAAATTAAGTTTAATACAGAACCATTATTCCTAATGTTTAAAGTAGTCATTTGTTATTTATAGAAGTTTATGGTGACATAAAGTTTTTTATGTCTCTGTGCATTCATTCTATATTGTTTTACGGAATTTAGTACGACTTAAGGAACAGACTTTTTTAGGAATTCTTTTTAGCCAATCAACAAACCAGGTTTTATCACGTGGTCTGATTAACCAATCAAAATTAACAAGTCATTAGTCTTTCTTTACTTTGCGTGCGTGAAACGCTCGCTAAAATTTGTCTCATAATTTTGGATAGATTCAAGGTTATCCATTTACGTCTTTTGTTACTCATTAACTTTCCTGACATTCAGGACTAAACATTATCGGGCGGCGACCCCGTTTTATAACTTTAAAATGGGCGCAAAGGTGGCAGTCACTAGCAGTGTGAATTAATTTTAGTTGGATTATGTAATTCTCGTGAATGAGACTTCGAACGTGACTTCCGACGAGATCCAACATGGCGGCACCCAGTTCGCAGAAGATACAAATTTTCGGTCACTCTTTCGTACGGCGTTTGAAACGATTTATTGTGGACTCAAAATCACACAACTTTCATCTTCATTTAGATGGGTGTCCTCTGATACAGTATTCAGGTTTCCCAGGTGCAACTGTGCGGTCATTACGGGATCATTTAGACGAAGTTGTTGATTTTCAGCCAAATATATTAGTTCTTGTTATCGGAACCAACGATATTTTTAACTCTAAGGAATCTCCAGAAAGTGTTACAACACACATTTGTGATTTAGTGGACACGTTACTTTTCGTTATTGGTGTTGAAAAAGTCATAGTGTTTCAGACTTTACATAGGTTAGATTCAATGGGACAATCTCGTTATCCAGTCGATTCAGCATGGTTCAATGAAAGAGTGGACAATCTCAATATGCTATTAGAGATTTACAGCTTGTACGGATAACGATAGCCGGAGACGAATAACGGTTATAATATTTGGGGGCTATCTCAAAATATTTATCATTCAATTAAATACAGTAAGTGCTTTAACCTTTTTATGGCAAGTAAGATAAAATAAAAGTACAAATAAGATCATACAATTTATTATTTATTCATACACTAGAAATTGGCATGTTACGTATAATCTCTGCAATAACGTGTTCAAGACATACACAGTTTTTTACTATTCTGTTAAGTTTTAGGCACTTTCTCCGCTGTTTAGCCCCTATTTACGGCGTATTTGAGCTGACGTGTATGGTGTCGTAATATGGGCATAAGTCGGATAAATTTTATCGACAAGTTTAACGCACTCTTTTGAAAATGGTAATTTAGTGCCGATTTGAGGTAACAGTAATACTGCTGGGCATCGTTATAGTTACCAAGAAACCCACTTCGTATATATCTTATATTCGATGTCCCGAACAAAACTGTTGTTGTGTTTCATTCACGCATAGAGCTACTGATACCATATATAGTTCCATCAATTGCTATTACGGCTATTGAAATTCTATTCCAGGTGCCTCTCATGGCTTACCACTTATGAACTTGTGGCAAAACGACAAATATTTTCTATGTAGATAGAAAATCGGGATAACATATCATTGTCGCACTTGGGACCGATATGTTGAACAATGGTGAAAGCATCATAAACTTCTGTTATGTTCAAAACCACATAAGCACAAAAAGAACTCTGTTTTTGCAAGAAGATTAAGAGGCTTGTATGATGAAATACGAAAAGTTTCTAACATATCTAAAAACTGTCTCAGCAGTTCCCCCGGTCACTTGAAAGAGATAAAAAGAAAACACATTTCTGCCACTTAAAATGTCTTAAACGATTCCAAAAAAAAAAATATAACTTATTTTTAGTATTTGGTTAGGCGATGTTCGAATGAGTTCTAAAATCGTGCAAATAAGTCCAAAGTAATTGGTGATGTCGGGGAAGCCTTAACCAAAGCCGGTAAAATGTTACTTATATCTTTGATTGGTTCACTGTCCATTGTTACCTAAAATAAGACACATCTATGCCTGGAATTGTTTAATATTCATTTAGATGTGACATAATAAACTGTGTTGAAATAAGTTTAGCCATACTTCATAAACTATTATAGTCTTTTTGTACCGTCATATTTCAGAAATTAGTATTCATATAAAAGGAAATTTCCCTCACGGAGTTCACATGGACAATGTTACACTAATGTTAACTTTGTCGATATGTAAAATGGAAGGTGAAAAAAGACACAACAAAACATTAAATCTATCATTTTCACACTATAATTTATACTCTGCTTCTCTATTCGGTTTACCCTTTTGCTTTTTGTTATCTTGTTGCATAAAAATATGCGAATTAAACATGCTTTTAGTTTCGGTCATCTTGTGCAGGAGTGGCATTAGATGCTATTGCGCACCATCTTTAGAATGTCGGGATCGACACGAGAGAACACGTGACCAGCCAAGTACCTGGTCAGTCACATCAGGATAATCAACCAGAAACAGGTGATTTAAGGGAAAACATTAAGACCTTACTTCCCCACGTACACAGAAACGGAATAGAAGAACGAGGTCGCTTGCTGACATTATTTAGGAAAATCAATTATTTTACAACGATTTTAATAAAAACAAAGTTTCAAAATTGCTTCACCAGCTTGATGTCGAGAAATATTCTGATGAATCAAACTAGATACTTAGAAAACACATATGAACGGCTTTTTGTAATAGAAATAAATGAAATTATTAGATTTGGCTTTGCCTTCTGTTTTCTTTAAAAAAGAAATCACTTTGAAACGCCCCCTTAAAAAATTAGCCGTCTTCGTCTATCGGTATCGGCTCAAGCTAAAAATCTCTATTAACAGACAGGTTGAACAGTACTGACCATAGAAGATCTTATTTATGGAAGCTAAAGGGTTTCTGGTCTACAGAATGTAAAGCGAGAAACTTTGCTGCAGATGGTTGCCACCTATCCCATACAGGTCAACTCCGTTTTATAGGCAATATACGAGCAGCTATTGTCGCCGCCTGGAAGAAGTCCATTTGTTAAGATGCGTACACATTTCATATCATATAAGAGCTTATATATAAAAATTCTTATTCGCATATCAATTATTGTAAGAGAATTTTTAAAACCTTCAAAGAGATTTTAAAGAACTTTTCTTGACAGCCTATACCACATGGCTGAGATTTCAAAATATATCCACATTGAACAATATTTCTCGCATAATTTGGTTATCATGTTTTGATTTATATTTCGTTGATCTATCCTAAGCCTGATGATACCTTGCTATAATTTCATACAAATAGTATGACATAGATTTTTGTATAGTTTTTATCAATACATTTGGCTTTTCTTTTTACTTCACATATTGCTAGTCGCAGTATTTTTATTACAGTTGCATGGCTTAGTTGACACGCCTTGCATTGTTGTCCAATTTTTAGTGCAGTCACTTGGCATTGCTTAGTTTACACGCTCTGCCTTTTATGTGATTTCACATACATTATACCGAGTGCAGGGCTTAGTTAAAACGCTCTGTTGCTCGCTTGGCATTGCTTAGTTTACACGCTCTGCCTTTTATGTGATTTCACTTACATTATACGGGTGCAGGGCTTAGTTAAAACGCTCTGTTGCTCACTTGGCATTGCTTAGTTTACACGCTCTGCCTTTTTATGTGATTTCACATACTTTATACCGAGTGCAGGGCTTAGTTAAAACGCTCTGTTGCTCGCTTGGCATTGCTTAGTTTACACGCTCTGCCTTTTATGTTTTTTCACAGACATTTTATTGGTGCAAAACGCTCTGCTGCTCTCCCGTCTGTATTTATATAGGCATGGCTTATTTAAGGCCCCTTGCCTTGTGATTGTCCGTTCTTGGATAGTGTAGGCTTGGCTTAGTTTACACGTTATACCATTTTCTTACTTACATTCATTTATCACCACTGCTTTCTGCTAAATACTTTTCTACTTGTTTCTTGGTAATCATAGTTATAAATTCAGATCACTTTACAAGTGCTCTTCATTATGTACGGCAATCATCTTATTTATAATACTTTGCCTTCAATATTAAGCACGGGCCAGCAGTCAAGCTTTTCTCAGATTTAAGGGCGTTAATATTTTCAGTTAATATCAGTTTTTTTATGATTATTTGGTTTTTTGCAGATGAAACCTGGAAAAAGAAAGGCAACAAAAGCCACTTGTTCATGCTGCCCGCCGCCTCCAGCAAAAAACAGTACAAACAAGTCAAAAACTAGAGTTAAGAACAATGTTAGTTCTACAATAACCAATATAAATCAAGTGCCATCCACATCTGCCAGGCAACAATCACACACTATTAACTTAGATCAGGCCGGGCTTGATGACAATATTTCAGCTGCTGACAATATTCAAGCTGCTATAGATAACAGAGACGATCCCACAGGACAACAGCAAGTACAAAATGCGGAAGAAGTTATGCCACCTCTACTAAGTCCGCCTCATATCGACGATGACACTTCATCTGACGAGGAATCCATAGGGGATGATTTTCTAGATGTTGTTAATAATCATACTCATTCTATGTTGTCAGGTAATGGCACGCAATTCGTTGAACCTATTAACTCGCCTATTATTAACCAGGTAAAAAATTCCATTCGCAAGGCTATCTGGAAAAATAAATTCATCGATATGGCAGGCTTACTACCCAATACCTCTTTTTCTCATACACAGGCTCAGCAGTTTACCCTGCAAATGGACCAACATTCCAACATTTCGGTCCAGCCTGTAGTTCGCCCAAGGCGAATTACATCCATTGAATCATGGACGTCCGCTTTCATACGATTTGTAGCAGTCTATACGGCCAAATTCCCTCATGAGTCGCCTGCATTAATGAAGTATCTTGAAGTTGTTAGAGACATTGCCACTCGCCATCCTGGTCAAGGTTTCTTATTGTATGACGCACAATTCAGAATGCTGCGTCAGTCTGTTCCCCTCCCATGGGACCATATCCATACTGAATACTGGTTGATGGCGTGTACATCAGTCCAGCAACCAACAGCTCATTCCTTTCGTTCCCCCCGCCAGTTTAACAGACAATTCACAAAGCCAAGACTCAACCTTTTCGTGGAAAACACATGCTGGAACTATAACAAGAGAACACAGTGCCATAACTCAAAATGCACATTCCCACACATCTGCGGTTTCTGCAGGGGACAACATACAGCATTTAACTGTCGGTTCACTAGTAAAGAGCAGGCAGCAAAAGCCTTTGCATCTAAACCTTCCTCCAATACCAAGAGCAATAAACCCCTCCCCCCTAGTGGTCACCCCAATTAAAGTCAAGATCCTTTCCTCCTTCATTAAGAACTATCAATATAACGATTATCTGGTTCAAGGTTTTTCGTCAGGTTTTAAAATAGGTTACCTTGGCCCTCGTACAGCTTCCACTTCTTCCAATCTCAAGTCGTGTATGGAAAACCCTGACTTAGTATTACAAAAACTACAAGTGGAGTTACATGCCAATCGCATCAAGGGTCCATTCCCTTACCCACCATTTCCTAATCTGCGTATAAGTCCCATTGGTTTAGTCCCTAAAAAATCACCAGGTCAATATAGGTTAATTCACCATCTCAGTTACCCAAAAGGTAGCTCAGTCAATGACTTTATTGACCAAGATCTAGCAACTGTCACCTATAGCTCATTTGACGATGCAGTAAACAAACTTTTGATCTTAGGTCCAGGGACATATTTCAGTAAAACAGACATAGATTCTGCTTTTCGCCTTATCCCTATTCATCCCAATGATCACCACCTCTTAGGTTTCAAATTTGATGATAAATTTTATTATGATACATGCCTCCCAATGGGTGCTTCATCTTCTTGTGCCATATTTGAACGTTTTAGCACTGCTCTCCAATTTGTTGCGCAGACACAGCTTGGTATCAAACACATAATTCATATACTAGACGATTTCCTGATCATGGGGCCCCCAAATTCACAAATCTGCCAGCAAACATGCAAAATCTCTGATATTATGGCTTTGGTGCGAAGGTTAATACTAGCCACTATGAAATTCAATATTCTCATACGAGCTGAACATGTACCAGGTAAATATAACATTTTACCGGACCTTCTTTCTCGTTTACAGATCACCAGATTCCGGTCATTAGCTCCTCACATGGACATACAACCAACAACAGTACCTTCAGACCTTCTCGTGCTTCATTAAATAAATCAGTTTATCAGTTGCTAGACACGGCACTGGCGCCTTCTACAAAAGCAAGCTACAAAAATGCTTTACAGCGATACAGAATTTTTCATAATACTTATTACCCAAATGCTCATTTATTCCCAGTCTCAACGGAACAACTAGCCCAGTTTATCACTGTTTGCCAACATCGGGGTCTAAAACATTCTACAATAACCTCATACATGTCAGCAATAGGTTACGTACGCTAACATTTGTCTCATAATTTTGGAAAACCACCTCCTCCCATCGCCTCCTCCTCTAACCTTTATCAAGTTTCTTTTCAATTTATTGTTTTCACCTTTGTTACATTCGCATTGTTCAAACGTTTTTGGCGTCCGCGCCGAAGCGCGGCGCCTTATGGAATGAAATGAGAGTTTGTGAAAGGGCGACAGCAACTTCTCGAGCCTTTTATTCGGTCATAATAAAAGCCGATCATTCCGATCGGTATGAGGGTGCTTGATTATTATAAAGTTGCGATATGTACAATAAATAGCGAACTGGAGAATTTCGCAATGCAAACATTTTCAAATGAAATAACCTTTTCCGTCTCTTCGGTTTTTTTATTTATCATTTTTAGTACACGCTCACTTGGGTTATTATGGTATGGTAAAATACAATAATGAGTTGATGATCTAAAAAATTTATTGATTATACATAAACATACAATTCAAAAAAAAAACCCTACAACAACAACAATAGCATGTTTATTTTATCTATATGTGATAAAAACAATAAATATGTACAATAATTGAGAAAAAAGGTACATTTTTATGGTATTAGTATGACACTATCAACTTTGAAACATTTTATTTAATTTGTTACTCGTGTTTAGTAAAGATGCCGAGGAATTATTCAAAGTTACAAATTAGATTTTATGAATTAATATGACAATTGAATTCTTAAAATTCATTTTACAATTTTAATAAAAAAGAGTAGTAAACATAAAAAAACTCAGTATTAAAATAGCACATAAAACACAAAAAAGAGAGGGAAACAATATTCATAAAATCTGTATTTTTATATTAAAATAGATATTACTATTATTGTATAATAAACAATTATGCTCAACATGATCAACATGGTAATATAACCAGTATCATATTTTTACTAAGTGTGAACAGATACCTTAAGAGGGGGTCTTGGGTCTTCGCTAATAGCGATAACATAATAAGGGACAATTCCACAAGTGTCGTGTTGATCATGAGTTACACATATGGATTATAAATGATTGTATACATGTATATCCGTTGTTATTAATAATCACGATCATAAAGAAATAACAAGTAATATTCTAATCTCTAGCATGCCAATCAAAGTTCATAATGAACAATGTCTATCGTCTGTTCATTCTGGTAAAACCCAATTAACCATTGAAAAGTTTATAAGAATATCTTGTCATCATAATGTCTACTAGTTCATCTTCACTTTCTGCATTTCTTGCTTGGACGCCCTTTGATGCTTTGCATCAATGCTTTTCTTGTATACTACTGTATTATTTCGCCTTTGTTTCAAACATTATATGTTACAGTATTATATGTTAACAATGAACATTATATGTTACAGTATTATATGTTAACAATGAAGCCGTTACTTTTGATCAACATATTCATGAGGTTGAGTTCGAAAAATCTAATTTCTTTGTATATTATCAACTTTATCTGTTAGTATTGAGACGGGCGGTTTTTTCCACCCAGTTATGTTTTTGTGAAAACGTTTTTTAGTTGCTATATATTTTATGGCATTTAATAAATGCCCTATTTTCATTCAAATACTAGAGTTGTGTTTTCATTTCATCCATACAAGTGTGACCTTCTGTGACTTTCTCTAAATGGACAAAACATAAATGTTTAAACGTTAATTTTGCCTCTAAACAGCTATTATATGTAATTATGTTACACAGACTCTTATTATTTCAATTGTCCATTTGTATATATTCACGTGCATTTTACACTGTTGTTAAGGTGACCTATAGGCCTATAAGGCCGGGTGTTCTTTATTTACATTGTATATATGTAATTTTCATGTACGAAAACATATGTCACTATAATAAAAGATTATTATTATTATTATATATTATTAAACACTAACCTATACATAAATTTGCCAGCTGTCGATATGTGTACCGAACGTAAAAAACGACTTATGTAAATATTGAATAATGAGTAACTAAATGCAAATCTATAGCTAAATACAATAAGTATTTATAAATCGGCGGTATAACGGCAATACGATATTTTAGACTATACTGTTCGACGTTGTAGTTTCGATTTAAAGTAACTATGGACGCGGGACTAATAGGGACAGATAACGAAGGTCAGAATTACGTTTCTATTTGTCGAGGTTTTGCATATGTAGGTGAAAAATTGGAGAGTTATACAAAAGAAGGATTAGACAAAACGTATCAAAACATTTATAAAACATTAGCTGGTCATCCTCCATGCAAACAAGAGTGCAGTAGAATTTATAGAGGTCAGTTTACGAAGTAAGTGAATATTATTATTTTCCAATCATACGTTTTGTTGATATAGTTTATATTCTTTTCTTATGTTTGAATTCATATCTGAGTTTCAGCGGTTAGGATACATATTGAAATTTAATGTACCCTATAGATCTAGATCGTTTAAATATTCGCATAAATTTAAACCTAAACTGATTTGTGTTGAACATAGATAGTGACGTAGAAAATATTGATTTAAAATTCTCATTCATATCGTTCTCTATTTCTTTCCCTTTTTGTAAATATTGAAAAGAAAAAAGTAAGTTGTGTAAATTAATTTTTATATTTTTATCGGATCAGAATTGTGCTCTGCATTGATCCATGGATAGAGTCACTTAATTTTAAGCGAGGAAAAAATGAAGGAAATATGTTTATTATATGTTAATGTTCAAAATAATAAATGATTTAATCTTTATTTTTAACCCTTCATAAAGATGTAAAAAAATAATTAGATCTAAGATGAGTAAATGTATTCAGGATTCTATTGAAAGAGTTCATTGAGTTTTGTGCTTTGCAAATATACATGAGTCACCATAATTATGATATCTTATTCACAGATAGTTTATTCTTGTTATAGTGCGGAGTACTTTTGTGTCTGAAACAGTATCTAGTTTTGTTATACAGAACGCGAGAAAAATTCTAAAACTATTGAAAATATTCTGTTGAGATTGTCAATGAAGAAAGCAATGCAGTTAATTATGACAGTCAAATCTTGACTGATCATGTTTTTTGCTTTGTTCTTTACTTCTTTCCTCTTTTCAGATTTTAGCTCGACTTTTTCATAGACAAAAATAGCTATTGCTACATAAATGTTGTCGTTGACATTGCCGTTGCTATTGTCGTTGCCTTGCAAAAACATTGTTCATATTGGTTATTTCTATTTGATTTCTTTTATACTTGAGCACAACTACCCTTGGACAAGACCTTGATTGTGATCATATTAAACTTGACCTCTAAAAATGTCAAATTATTAATTTTGCTTGAGTTTGCCATTATTGGCTGTAATATTGTTATTTGTGAATGGATTGTTTTCGTACTTAAATACAATTTCCGTACGGACAATGTTTTAAAGGAGATCAAACTCAATTTGATATTGACTCATAAATTATCTTGACCTCGAAGGTCGAATTATTGTTATTTCACAGTGTTTTGCTATCATTGGCCATAGTTTTGTTAGTGATGAATAAATTGTCTATATACATGGGCACAACGATATTTAGTTTTATCTTAAGACACTAAAGAAGATGCAATTGATCTTGGCCTTAAATTGACCTTGACACTAAAAGTCAAATTAGTGAATCTTACTACAATTTGCCATATATCTGTTATTAACTTATGGATTTGATTTATAATTATACTGTGACAAAAGAGCAATTATAACAAAGCTGACATGTTAAGTAATTCAATATTACCTTGACCAATAAGGTCAAATATTCAATCAAGTTTCGTTATCTATTTACAGATTTGATAAATAATTGGACAAAATAATCCTTATGACAAAACCGACAAATTGCAAAATTGTAAAATCAAAAATAACCTTGATCTTAATTTGACCTTGACAGTCAAGGTCAAACTATTGAAATTTGATTGAATTGTCCTAATTTAATCTATTAACAAATTTGTGCTACTTGGACAAAAGAATACATATGGCAAAACCAACCTGATATGACCTTGATCGTCTATATCAGATTAGTGAATTTTGCTTTAATTGTCATAACATTCAAAACGACAAGTTGAATTATTTTAGTATGACTTACACACTTTACATGACCTTCATCATTCAGGTCAAGTTGTTGAAATTTTCCTTTTCCTTTTTCATAACTTTGTTATTTACCTTGGACAAAAGAACATATATGACATAACTCAATAATTCAAATGAGATCTTCACCTTCGAAAGACATGATTTTGACTTTAAATATGCAATTTTAATTTTATTTTGTTCAAGCAAAGGAGTTTTATTACTACAATATTCTTCTCTGTTTGACTTTACAAGTATGTAAATAGACAAGCGTGTCCCACGCTTGGCTATGGCTCTTGTTATACTAACATTAGGAGGAGCATCTTTATCTCAGAGTTGAAATAGTTTTAACTTGTCGTACAGGATCATTGATTGCCATACTTCTACATTTTAGTTTGAATCCGGGTTTAAGCTCTGTATATAAATCAATTTGCTGACATGATTATCGGATTTCTTGAATGTGTACACACATGTTTGTACAATACCATTGCATGAAGCTGATTCTTTCATAGTTTGAGTCATAAACGTCTTGACATCTGCTCAGATCATATTTTGTTTTTCTAAACAAACAATACAAACGACACAAACATAAACGATTTTAACTGATGAAAAAAAAATGAAAAAGAAAATAAATTACTCAGTAAACATTTTAATTAAATCGGTGAAATGAGTAAGGTCTCGAATGTCATCGAGCCAGAAAACATTATCACCGCGTAAAAAAACAGGTATCAACAATACCCTAGTGATTACAATAAGCGTTTATTTAATGAGGCTAGCAAGTCTTATAAACGTATTATATATCGTTATGTGCAACAATATAACATAAAGGTCAATTGCCTTTTATTTCAGCAATAGCCATGGAGTCATTGACAGTGGAATGGCTGCTGGGCATTTGTTTAGATGAGGAGCGAGTTGTAGGGCTTCTTTGACCTGTAATCGAGATAATTTATCACAGATTATATTACTAGATGAACTAATATGTTTTGATTTAAAACAGAAGTTGTATTTGAGGGCCTTTAAAACTATAAATCTGATCAGTTTCATCATTATTTTGTCTTTAGAAGTTTGCTTGTTTAAACAGTAGACTACAGACAAGTTGTCACTTATAAACAAGACATTCGTTCCTGACCATAAATGACCAAACATTAAAACTGCTAATGCTATTGGATAGAGCTCTAAGATATTGATATGGAACTGTTGGATTTGAAGTGGAAAACAGCCAAATGTCCATTCATTTGAGTAAACAATTCCGAAGCCTTTAGAACCGGCTGAATCTGTGAATAGATTCATAGTTTGATTTGATATAAATCTGTCCCCGGTAAGAAGAGTGCAACCATTGTAATCATGAATGAATTCATGCCACAATTGAATATCAGCCCTGCAATCGTTATTCAATTTGATGTAGTGATGTTTACCGTTTATGCCCACAGTTTTATCATATAGACGTCGTAAGAAACAACGACCCGGTTTAATGACTCTACAAGCAAAGTTTAAATGACCTAATAATGATTGCAATTCCCTTAGAGTGACTTTCTTTTGTTTCCTGTACATGTTAAGTAAGGATCTTAGGGCTTGAACTTTGTTCTGAGGAAGTTTGGCGATCATTGACTTGGTATCAATCATAATACCATGCACTTCTACACAGGTAGAAGGAAAGACCGTTTTAGCATGTTTGATTGGTAAATTCAAGTCTTTTGCCAGTGACATGAATTTATTCAATGAGTTTAAACATTCCCCAGTATCAGCAGAACCCACAAAAATGAAATCGTCTATAATGTGTGATACTTTTTGTACTTCACATTTTGTTTTCAAAATCCACTGTAAAGAACATGAAAATTTTTCAAATATAGCTACCGAGGAAGAAGCTCCCATAGGTAGTGCTGTATCAAAATAAAATTTATTGTCAAATGAAAACCCCAATTTCCTGAAATCTAAAGGAGACATAGGGATAACTCTGTATGCATCTTCAATATCAGCCTTAGCAATTTCACAATTGTAACCCGAAGATAGGACCAATTTAGCTACATCATCAAATAGTTCTAAACAAACCTCTGAATTATCTTTGGGAATAAATGAGTTAACTGAGGATCCCCATGAGGGGTAAGATAGATCATGTATGAGTCGAAAGGAGTTAGGGTCTTTCTTAGGGACGACACCTAAAGGGGAGCAAACTAAGTCATGGAATGGTTTAGTCTTGAAAGGCCCTTTAATTTTTTGCTTCAAAATCTCAGAGGATAGCTTTGTGCGAACAAAATCAAGGTGAGTGCTAACAGAGCGGTGGTTGTTGGCTGACAAGGCCGGGACATAACCGACAGTACCTAAACTAAAGCCGTAAGTAAAACCATCAATTACAGATTGTTTGAGATAATAACCATCAAGATATTGTTGTAGGGAGGATACATTTATAGGGGTTGATACCTTAAAGCCCTTATTACTTGGCTGTGTTGTCACCTGTTTTGATGGGTTGTTTGAATTTCTTAAAATCAAGGTGGCAGGAGATGGCTGCATGCTGTCCTTCACAGTTTGCACATTTGTGACTGACAGAACAGGACTTTTTTGAGCAAGAGGATCTTTTTTGAAATTCCCAACAATAACCTTTTCTTTGAAAGATGTGGGGCGGGAGGTATTTCCGAAAGGAATGGTTGTTGTTTTGGACTTTGTGATTGGCTGGCTTGTCAATTGAGCAAAAAAGGAATGTTTCAGTATGGATTATCCCCCATGGTTGAGGGTTGGTTGCCCTTAGCTGCCTAAACTTAGTGTCGTACAGCAACCAGTTATCAGTAGATTGGGCCATTTTTTGAATAATAGACATATATTGGAAGAGTTGGCTACTCTCCAAAGGGTACTTGCAACAATACACATCGGCGTATTGTTGAAAGGCTCTAGACCAAGTTAGTATAGTGCTTATTTGTTTCTTGGACCCCTCCTGAATAGAGGTGACCGTTCTATTTCCAGATTCCTGGATTGTGGTGGTTTTTGATATGTTTTTTTCTCTAAAATAAAGAACCCCCAGATCTACAAATTCCCGATTCCATATCTGCTGCCTTAGTTTTGAGTCTATAGGCGGATGGACTAGACTAAAAGATCCTAGATCCACCGAGTTGTTACTTAAATCAAGGGGAACAGGTCCAGAATCCATGGTGCTTAAACTAACACCATCCTCACTAGTGTCCATTTGGTCATGGTTAGTGGACATGGATTGGACATCCTGGTCTGGTTCAATTTCATAATTGGCCGTACCGTCATCTTTATCCGTGGTAGGCAGTAAATCCACAATTTCCTTGAGCACTTCCTCATCCTTGCTGATGGCAGTGGCGATGAGTTGTGCCAACTTGCTGCTACCGTTTTTCTTCTGCTTCTTGCCAGATTTGGCTTTGTTTGGTGCGACTTTAGGCATTCTGAAATGTAATGTCTTACAAGAATTAATTATAGGTGGGAATATGTTGGGATTCTCCCAATTTGATATGGTATAAGAATAGTCTACATGTACAATAAGTGAATTTATTACATGCTTTTCGGTGGTTTATAGAAATATATCTGTGATATAAAACTGGTAATTCCACTGTGTGAAACAGTGAAATTACCACTTTGATAATTTCACTGTTTTGAATTTAAGTCCCTTATGTTGTTTCAGTGAAATACCAGCGTGCACAGAACTGGGTACCAACTTAATGACGTGACGTCGTAAATGACGTCACTTTGTATTATTATTTGGCGCGCTTTTTATTCAGTATTAAGTTTAATGTCTTTTTAAAACGTTTCTTTGCATATAATAAAAAGAAAATTTGTTTAGTTTAGTGTTAGATCGAAATATATTTCACCTTGTGAACACCAAAAGTTCATATTTCACTCGTGGCTGCGCCACTCGTGAAATATACCTTTTGGTGCTCACTCGGTGAAATATATTCCGATCTTACACTGAACTAAACAAATATCCTCTATATAACCAACTGGAACCAATTGTTAAACCAGTGGTAAAAGTGTACTTGTAGAAAAGTATCCAACCAGTGTTACCCGGAAAAATTCACACGCAGGTGATAAAATTAAATAAATAGTGTAAATAGTATGGTATAATTGTGCATCCCCAAACAAACACACGCACGTGTAAATATCTGACTAGCAGAATGTATAAACAGGGAGCAAACCATGTTCAAATGGTCAACCATACAACGAATATCCTGGGTATCAACTGGTGGATGTGTCGGTATATAAAATTAACAATGCCAACTCAGGGCACTAAATGTTGTTAACAGGGACCTTATTAGGATAATGGTCCAAAACTAAACAGAATAGATGAGAATTGTATGGCAACACAATTCATAAATAATGCAACAATGAAAGGCAAATTGAATTATCACTTACTTATCTATGGCAAATCTTTTAATGTTAGTTATACCAAATCAAATCTTTGCATGAAATAAATGTCCCACACAACTATCACTCATTCACTGTTTTGTCAAATTGAGTGTATATAATCTGAAACACAATGTATGAAAAGAACATGTAAAAGAAATACATATATAAATATATACACATGTGAAGACAGGAAACTTATTGTGATAAACATTTTTCAGCCAATAAAATGGAGCCTCTAACTGAAGCATAGTAACGAGGCATGCCCTTTTGGTTGTCAACATGGACACCATCATTTGCAACATAATCCCTAATAAAACGACGGTTGAAGTTGTTCCGTTTGTGAGTCCAAAATATTAGGGAAGGCTTGTCTTCACAATATGATTTCAATAACTGATTTGTTGTGTCAGCCTTGGCATTATATACATGGTCACCAGCTCTATGTAAAATTTCATAGATGACAACAACTTGACTACCACGACTAAATATATTTGAACATAAACTGATAATGCTATCCACCAACTGATTTGGCTGCAAATTTGGAATGCATAAATCATTACTTCCAATATCTACAACTGTGCAGTTTATCTCCAATTCATTTACCAAATAAACATCGCACCAAATTGATTTCGCTTTAGACTTTGACGCGACATAAGCTCCGCCCACTCCATGCCAATAAACTTGCACGCGGTCCGAATCTTAATTCAAATTCAACAAACATTTCGTACCACACCATCTCTGGAGGCGCTTTGTAAAAGAGTGGCCCAGTATCAAAACATTCATAACTATTCTCAAACAAAGAGATTAATGAAAAGGAACGATACAAATTATGTAACAAACCCACGCTATCCACGCTGTCCTAAGTAGGTCACTCACGCTCGTCGTTGAAGCTGTGACAGTGTCGCCGAGAAAACTAACTGCTTTTTAACCAGAAGCTATTTGCGACTACGTGGTAGATTAAATAAGCATTCCCAAATAAATAATTGTTGAGAATAACTGTTGACGAGCAATAAATAAAATATAAAATAGAGTGAAAAAATTTTCAGATAAAAATTTTGCGTGCGACACCTAGTGGTGAAAAATTTTCTATGATCCGAAAGATAGAATTACACCGAAAAGTGTTTAAACACCAGAAATGCCTTAAATGTGCTAAGATGTAAAATAAGATGTAACTGTACAAACATAAATCACTTTATACTGTTCCACTATATAAAGTATAATTTGCTGACATGATTATCGGATTTCTTGAATGTGTACACAAATGTTTGTACAATACCATTTCATGAAGCTTATTGTTTCATAGTTTGTGTCATAAACGTTTTGACATCTGCTCAGATCATATTTTGTTTTTCTAAACAAACAATACAAACGACACAAACATAAACGAATTTAACTGATGAAAAAAATGAAAAAGAAAATAAATTACTCAGTAAACATTTTAATTAAATCGGTGAAATGAGTAAGGTCTCGAATGTCATTGAGCCAGAAAACATTATCACCGCGTAAAAAAACAGGTATCAACAATACCCTAGTGATTACAATAAGCGTTTATTTAATGAGGCTAGCAAGTCTTATAAACGTATTATATATCGTTATGTGCAACAATATAACATAAAGGTCAATTTAATAAATTATCTTAGATCTTTGCAAACAAATAATCCTAAGATGTACTGTAACTTTTTGAATAAATTAAACCAAAAGCATTCTTACAACAAGATGCCAAGCATGCGCGATTTTTATCATTATTTTAAGGATGCAAATACAAGCTCCTTGTCCTCTTATGCAAATCCAATGCAACAAAATATTTTTTTAAGGAAGAAATAAATTCCCCAATCACCACGAACGAAATGATAAGAAACATAAATTGTGCCGGCAGTCCTGTCGATGATATACTTAATGAATACATAAAAAATACACAGGATATTTTTTTACAAATTTACACAAAACTTTTTAACATTGTTTTAGACACAGGTTATATGACCTCATCATATGGCTTACTGGAGTTATCGTTAGATTATTCAAAAACAAAGGTGATCCAAAAGAACCATCCAATTACAGGTCCATAACTTTACTCGGTTGTCTTGTGAAATTGTTTACCTCAATACTTAACTGTAGAATAAATAGATATTTAGAATCTAATAATATTCTTAATGCAAATCAGACTGGCTTTGGAAAGTATTTTCTTATCAGGATCATATTTTTACCCTTCATTCAATAATCAAAATCTTTAAACATAAGAAAAAAACACTTGTTTTGCGCATAAATGGATTTACTGTAGTATTTGATAAAGTAAATAGATTAGTCTTTGGCTAAAGTTGTTAAATTCTAACGTCAAAATATGTATAGTAACATTAAATCTTGTGTTTCCCTTAATGGTGATTCGTCCCCCTTTTTGCATGCATGAATTGAGTCCGTCAAGTTGAGAATCTGTCGACTCTTTTGTTCGCTCTTTTTCTTTATGATTTACAGACAAGTATTGAAGTTTCAGGTGGCATCGGTGTTAAACTTGAAGACGATTTAACTGAATCTTATTGGCTTAAACCTTTAGTCATTTTGTATGCTGATGACACCGTTATCATTTCAGATGACCCAACGGATTTCCAAATATGTCTGAACGCTTTTAATTCTTATTGTAGAGAATGGGATCTTACAGTGAACCTGAACAAAACAAAAATTATTGGTTTTGGTTGTTTGTCTGTCTGATCGTAACTACGAATTCAAACTTGGTGATAACATTTTTGATTTTTCTGATACATATCTTTATCTAGGCATTAAATTTTCAAGCTCCGGGTCATTCTTAATAACTCCCGCAAACACATAGTTGAGTAGGGGAAAAAAAACAATGATTTTACTTTTCTCAAAATTAGAAATGCTGACTTACCAATTGACTTGAGCATACAATTATTCGACCACACTGTCTTACCGATTCTAACATATGGCTCAGAAATTTTTGGCTTCGAAAACTTAGATATGTTATAATCAGTTCATAACGATTTTTTTTGCGCAAACTATTAAACGCACGTAGAAGTACACCTATTTATATATTACACGGTGAATTGGGAAGGTATCCTATCTCAGTTGTAGTTAAAAGCAGAATAATTGGATTTTGGACACGCTTACTATCTGGTGACCATAACAAGTTATCGTTTAAACTTAATACATATATGGTTAATCGTCAAACCACAACTTTTAAATGACCTCGTACGTTAAGAGAATACTTGATTCGGCTGGTCATTCAATCAATATAATACAAATATACAATTGAATACACATGCGCTAGTAAAACTCACGTTAATAGATCAGTACAAACAGCAATGGTACGGGAATTTGCAATCTTCTAAGAAAAGCAAAATATATAATTCATTTAAATCCACATTAGAATTAAAACCATATTTTAAACTATTGCCGCATATATTTCGGTTTTCTAATAATAAATTTCCTGTTGAAACCGACAGGTGGGACTGAACAGTATTCAATGACAGAACGTGCACAATTTGTGACCTAGATGAGTTACGCACCGAAAAACATTATTTATTAAACTGCCCTTTCTTTACGTATCATCGGTCAATTCTTACCAATAAGTTAAATTTCGCAGTTTTAAACACTGAGAGTTGTTTTAATAGTTTGATGAATATGAAAACACCTGAAAAATTAAAGCATTTGTCTTTTTTGTAAAACCTTAATGGTCAAATTAAAATAATTATATGAATATAAGCCATTTAGTAAGGTAAATATAAAATTAAACTTACATTACATTTTACACCTTTTTGTATGTTTTTATATTGTTACTACCTATATGGATCATGTTATAGTTTCAAACTTTATTACGGTCTCCCCCAATGTATTACTTATACACCTTTGTCAAACTTTAATTTGATTTTTATTTGATTTTCCTCATACTGTACTTATGTACCTGAGAGAATAAAGAGTATTTTCTGTTCTGTGCTGTCTGCTCATTCAGTGCAGTGTTAAATTTTGTAAAACTATGAAAAATCATGCACGTTAACGAGCATTCTCTTGTTAGACAATGTCTTTGTTCTGTACAATAGCGCATTATTTGACACCAGGTATTGAAAATAACTGTGAACCCCCATGATGATTACAGTTAAAATTATGTAGATAGATAGATATTCTTTATTTCTTCCATTTAGAAGAGCATAACATATGTACTAATATAATAATTATAATCGTGACATATTTACATATATTACATTTACTTATATGACAGTTTAATGATATTAACATTGTTACATACATATTTATATACATCATGTAATCTTATTAGGTTAAAGAAGCGGATATTAAGAACCATTACAAACAAATAATAGACGTAATTACTATTACAAACAAATAATAGACGTAATTACTATTACTTTTTTCACAATTGTTGTCTATAAATGTAATTTATTGGGCAGAATAACAAAACATGATGTACCACAGATTGTGAGAGTCGTCTATACATACTGGACATATCCTAATATAATCATATTAAGTAAACAACTGATTTAATGCAAAAAAAGCATTTTCCTTTTGTCGATTTCTTGTTCAATTGAAAGTATACCTAAACGATTTAAAGCGATGTTTGTTCAAGTAAACCGAGGTAATGACTGCATATACTTTACACATTGTCTGCAGACAATCTTGGGTGATCGTTTTGAGTCTTTGTTATATCGGACCAAAGTTCACAACCAAGCAAAGATCTAGGTAATACTATACTTTCATAAAATGTTTTGCAGAGATAAGACGTATTCAAGAATTATGTACGCCACAGTCTGATAAACTAAAATACGTTTTAGGCAGTTTTGTACATGCTTCTTTTATATTTTCATTGAGACACATATTCTTATTACATAAAATACCTAAATTAAGATAATTATGTGTTTCTAGCACTTTATCTCGGCCAAATTTCCATTTCCCCGAAGTTTTCTGGTAATATTTATCAGGTGAATTAAACACGACGACATTACTTTTCTTTACATTATACAGATATTGCTCATGAGCCAAAGTTTCATACCATGTATTAATAAAGCTGTCTTAACCAGCCTTTGTGAGTGACGTCAAAGTCATGTCGTCCGCGGAAGTAGGACAACTCGTACCGAAGCTGACACCATCTATGCTTAAACATCGACTAGAACTTTCAACTTTATTTATAAGACCATCTATAAAGACAAAATACAGAAATGGACTGGTACATTGACCATGTCTTGTTCCCTGGAGTATCTGAAATCATTCTGACGTATGTCCTTGTGTTCTTACACAGCTTTGAAACATTTCGAAACATTTCATAAACTTGTATTTTTTGATAACATGTATATCAATATCAGTGTTATATAATTTTAGCATCAAAACTTGATGAGAAACATGGTAAAAATCTTGTTTTGCGTCTAAGAAGCACGTAAACAAATTTGTATTAGTTTCCTTTGTGGAATATATATTTTCTCGGAGTAGAAATTTAATTGTGTCATTGTGCAGCTAAAATATTTCTGGAACCCGCCTTGCATAGTATTTACTTTCACTGTAATTTCACGATTTATGAAGGTTGATATACATTTTACAAATAATTTCAGTACTGTAGAGCAAAGAGATATAGCACGATAACTCTCCAGATTTCGTTTATTTTTATTTGACTCTTTGTATAAAGTAGTTATTACACCTTTCTTAAGTTCATCGGGTATGTTCACGAAGTCCGACATATCCTATTATAATTTTGTTTTGACTGACAGCAAAAGTGCTCCGCCATATTTGATATGTTTTTGATCGTGGCCGCAAGCTTTTCCATTTTTACAAGTTTTAAGTTCTTGTTTCACTCAATTTTCATTAATCTAAATTTTTACAAAAGTGGTATTTTCAATTCAGCCAATAATGTCTTCAAGTTCCTTTTCACATTTTGAGAGATAGTCTTTGTTAAAATTGTTGTTTTTAGTAGGCGTATATAACTTTTCAAAATAGCTTCTCCATCCAGAATTATACTTGTAGGGTCACTGCACATATCACCATCAAATTCCATTTAAAAACAAGATTATTCTATTTTTTGTAAATCAGTTTCCACAACTCTTTTTTCTATGTATGAGGTAACTGATATTCTGTGTATGTGTCAAAATGCTCGTTAAGCCGTCTTAAATTCAATGTAACTAAAACAATTTATGACTCTTGGTCTATTTTCACTTATCTATAATTTTTTATTCTAATTTCTGAATTCAGCAAGGTCATTAACTGAGCATTTTCATTTAAATCATACGATAAATTTCTTGAATATTTTCACATTTTTCCAGTTAATACTCGGCTTACCGGATTTGTCTAACTTGTATAGCTCAAGCGGTATGCACATAGTGCTTATAGGTGTACTGTGTGTCGATGCGTTTAGGCTGCCTTCATATATATTGTAATGATCTAGAAAAGTTTACCTGTTACTTCATTTATTCATTTTTACTTTCTGTCATTCATTGATCCTACTTTCGTTTTTGAAGCTTTTACTGGCAATAGCACATTAGTTGACTGGTGTCTTAGTAAATTTTCACAAGACATCAGATCAATGTCACGTATCATGCCAGATTTTATTCTAGTCTGTGAGTTAAGTTTAAATCCCTATATGTTTTCCATGCCAGAATCTGTTGTGTCATGTGTTTTCACGACTTGTTTATCTTTCCATGTAATTTGAATAATCCCTCTTATAAGTCACTATTTACGTTGCATATCAAATTAATCCATGTTTATGAATGTTTCTGCAAGATAACTTTTCTAGAAACTTGTTAAATCCTTCACATTTTGATATTTTATATTTGACCTCGTTCTGTATTGTGCAGATCCGCCATCTTGGAATTGACTGTGAGCAGTTGCTACTAGCAACAGTCTGAGGCGGGCTATTTGAAATCGTATTTATTATTGTTTAAACTAGCGTATTTTTACGAAGAATGATGTTTAATTCAAGAAAGAGAACCTTTGAGGTAAATGAGTGATTTATATATGAATTATGTATTTTTCCTTATATTTTTAAGTAAGATATTGATGTTTTTTATTATTAAGAGCACCTTGCACTTTGCACACAATACACAGTTGTGAGCTGTGAGCCGCACATCTCACACTGGTGGGCAGTGAGTCTCACATCACAGACATGTGAACTGTGAGCCCCACATCACACATTGTGAGCTGTGAGCTCTGCTAGTATTTAAACCCTGCTCACAAGTAATCTTGGCTTCACACTTTTTTTTTCTTGCTCCGAACTTACGGACGTTTTCGTCAGTATTTTAAACTTAAGGTGCGCTCTAGATTTTTGAAGATAAATATTTTTCATAAGTAATAACTTTACAACAGTCATTCTAAATTGTTTAGAAAAGTTAAATTTACACATTATATAGAGTTTTGTTCTTGGTTATTATATAACAAAGAATTAGTACTTGAAATAGATCTTTTTTATGCTTAGTTCAACTGGTATCTCAATTCGGCGAATCTGTCAGTCTTAAATTAAAGACTCGTGTATTTTTCTGGATACCGTATCATCTCGTGCATTTTAAGAGAAATAATAGCGATTGTAAGAATTGATTTACTGTATATTGCTAATGCAAACATTGATGCATACATGTTTTGATCTCATTTATTTATTTAATGTTATTCAAGTCTAATTATTAACTGTTGAAATATACTAAATTTCTATATACTTGATAAATAAATTCAAGTGAAACATCATAATTTAAACAGACTTATTTGTTTTTCTTATTATAATTCAAACATTTGGTGAAGCCCAGAACTCTAGCAAAGTTCTGATAAGTAATACCTGGTCCATAAATAACAGGCCTTAGAAAGCTACCAAAACTATACTGTCTTGATATACTGGTTTCAACAAGAGTGCAGCAAACTTCTGAACTCCAGTCGACAACTTCTAGCCTAGAATTACCATATGCAGACAGACTGATAAACAAAGAAGGCCAGGTGCAAAGAGACTCTCAACTACTAGAGCGTAACATTTTTATGGTGGCAGCGGTGGGATCTGATAAACTATTCAGATCCAGTGATCGTACCTTACGTCAATATTGTTAAGTAACCCGTGCTAAAGATGAATGATCCGGCAGCCGTAGACAGTGAAGGGGTGATAACATTCTCGAGTATTCCAGTAGAGGTGCAAGTACATGTAAATCCATCGTCCAGCACATTGGCTGATGATGATATCTCTGATAATTGTTCAGTTTTGAGTGCCAACTCTAACAATGATGCTCCGTTCTCTCAGCAGAACACTAATGACAATTCGTGTGACCAGATGACACACATGATGACGGGTATAGCAGTCGTTTTGAAAGATGTCATGAAAGAATTAAAAGAACTTAAACAGGTCTCAATCAAACAAACCCCTACAGTTTACAGTTATGTTCCAAATGACAATACCACTACTCAACCTAAAACTAATCATGTACAGTCTAATGTAAATGAACAGCCCATAGGCAGAACACCACAAAATTATTTCCAGATGCCAAACACTCAAAATACACACACATCTAATGAATTTCAATATGACTCAATTCAGCCTGTAAGACAAAATGCCCCAAGTTACAGTCACCCACAGCATTATAATGCAAGCAGCCCTTTTGGTAATCCTGCTCGCCAAGTAAATCATATTAAAATACCATCTTTCTCTGGAAAGGAAGATTGGCCTAGTTGGATATCTAGGTTCGAAACGATTGCAGATAGATATGCTTGGAGCACTGAAGATAAATTGGACCAACTGTTGCCCAGACTAGAAGGTGAAGCATGTGAATTTGTGTTCACTCAACTTCCCCGTCATGTTTTACGAGATTATGATGAAATTATTTTAGAACTTAACTGTAGGTATAGGAAAATAGAAACAGCTCGCTCTTTTGCAGCAAAGTTCAGCAAAAGGTCTCAAAAACACGGTGAGACTGCCGAAGACTTTGCGGCAGATCTAAAACGGTTATACAATAAAGCCCATGGGTATAGGAACAGACAAACCCGTGATGAAGACCTTGTGCGCAGGTTTCTCGATGGCCTCTTTGACGAAGATGTTAGATTCGAGGTTGAATACCACAAAGAGCCAAGAAATATAGATGAGGCTGTTTTCCATGTTGTTAACTTTATTCAAACAAGAAACTCTGCAAAGTATGATAGAAGAAAATTCACACGAAGAGCCCAGATAACCGATGAAGAATACAGTGAAACCACTATAAATAGAACACCATCAGATAATACTCCAGTTAAAAATGACAATTTTATGAATACTTTTAAAAATGAAAGGTCTAATGTCGTAAATGACCAAACAAAATTAATGCAGGATCTATTGCAACGCATGGAACGGCTCGAAAAGGCTAACTCTACGCAGAATATAAGAGAGCAGAATCACAAAAGGGGTAAACGTTCATTTGAATGTTTCAATTGCCATGAACAGGGACACTTCTCCCGGGATTGTCCTAGAAAGAAAGAAACCCCAGCCATGAGTGGCAAGACTAGCAATGTGCCCCATGGAAATTTAAACTTCAACGGACCAGCCCTTGTGGCCAAAGGGAGGTCCCAGTAGATAGCAAAAAGGCCTTTAACAAAGATTCGGACCTGGATAACGGACCTGTAGATGGAGAGAATAAGCTGCATTCAACACATAAAGACTTAGGAGAAGGTGTGTATATAGATGGCCTAGTTGGTAAAGAACCCTTGGTGTTTACGGCGGACACGGGGGCGTCAAAGACTATTCTGTCATCAAGGGTGTATGACAGATTGAGTGATGACGAGCGTCCGCATTTGGAAGGGTCAACTTGCCTAAGAGGGGCCGGGGGCTCTCCTATAAGGGAGAGAGGTAAAGCAGCCTTTAAGATTCAGCTCGGAGAATTGAATATAGTAAAGGAGATGATAGTCGCGGATATTGAAGACGACGCTCTGCTTGGCTATGATGTCTTGGTTGAAGACGAGGAAGGCCCTGCAGATTTACTTTTAAGTCGAAATGTGATTGTCTTTAGGGGTATAGAAATACCTTGTCGCAAAAATAGTAAGCGACTGAGAACAAGAAAAGTAAAGGTAGCAGATAACATCTCCATACCAGGGAAGTCTGAAACCTTAGTAGATGTGTTTATTGAGAGGGTCGATGAAGACGACTCTGATAATCAGGCAGATTATATAGTAGAACCATCTGAAGGTTTCAAAGAGAGATATCAATTGGTAATGGCGTCCACGTTAGTTGATATTAATAGAGCAGCAACTTCCAAGGTCAGGGTTCTGAATCCATTCTCTACAGAAATCAAGCTTTGGCAAGATGCAGAGATTGGAAAAGCAGAAAAAATTGAAAAGATTGTAAGTGTTATAACTAACATGGAACGTGAGCAAGAATCAGAAAATATGAATAATGTTCGAAGGGTAGACATTGCTGCACAGGGAAATGAAACGAAGAAAATTATTGAACCATCGAAAGAAGATCAGGTTCCGGAGCATTTAAGAGAATTATTTAAGCGGTCTACATGTGAAAGGTCAAGGGCAGAGTCTGAAATAATAGCGGGATTACTCGTAAAGTATTCGTGTACATTCTCCAAGGATGAGTGGGACCTTGGCGTAACAAATTTGACTGAACATGAGATTAAGACAGGGAATGCAGAGCCTATCAAGCAGCGCCCCAGAAGGGTACCTCTAGCCTATGCCGCAGAGGAAAAGAGAGCGATTGACGACCTACTGAAGAAAGGGGTTATACAAAAGAGCACCTCGCCTTGGGCAAGCCCAATAGTACTTGTTAAGAAAAAGTCAGGCGCCATCAGACCGTGTGTTGACTACCGTAAAGTAAATGCGTTAGTCAAACCAGATGGTTTCCCTCTGCCTCGTATCCAGGACTGTTTAGACGCAGTAGCTGGCGCGAGTCTCTTCAGTAGCTTCGATTTGACAAGCGGTTATTTCCAGATACCCTTGAAGAAAGAAGACATACCAAAAAGCGCATTTGCATGCAAATTTGGCCAATTTGAAATGACCAGAATGCCTTTCGGACTAAACAACAGTAGTAGCACATTCCAGCGTACTATGGAACTAGCACTACAAGGCCTTCAATGGGAGACATGTCTGGTGTACATAGACGACATCATTGTATTTGGTTCTACTTTCGAGCAACACATCGAAAGAGTTGATACTGTCCTTGATAGAATAAAACAAGCAGGTCTTAAGTTACGCCCTGATAAATGTCATTTGTTCCAGACTGAGGTTACATTTCTCGGTCATATTGTATCGAAAGATGGTGTACGCCCAGATCCTAACAATATATCAAAAATAGTGAACTGGCCCGAACCCAAGAATTCTAAACAGGTCAAGCAATTTGTTGCTACAGGGTCGTATTATCGCAGATTCGTGAAAAACTATGCTCAGATGGCACGTCCTTTAACAAATCTTACAAAGAAAGGGGTCGAGTTCTGTTGGGACAAAGATTGCGGAACCGCCTTTAAATTAATTAAAGAAGCGCTAATTAGCCCAGATATTATGGCTTTTCCTTTGAACGAAGGCGACAACTTTATTCTTGATGTCGATGCTTCAGGTCTCGGAATCGGAGGAATACTAGCACAAGTTCAAAATTCACGTGAAAGGGTAGTAGCGTATGCAAGCAGAGGCTTAAATAAAGCAGAGAAAAATTATTGCATTACTGAACAAGAATTATTAGCCGTTGTGTACTTTATACAGTATTTTCGTCAATATCTGCTTGGTCGCAAGTTTCTGGTGCGAACTGACCATCAAGCGCTTGTGTGGTTGTTTTCGCTTAAAGAGCCAAACGGTAAAATCGCGCGATGGTTGGAGATCCTGGCTGACTTTGACTTCTCCATTGAGTATCGGCCTGGAAAGAAGCAGCCACATTGTGACGCTCTTTCTAGATGTCCACAGCCGAGAGATTGTCGTTGTCATGAAGTCGATATGTCAGAGCCGTTAAAATGTGGTCCTTGTAATAAGTGTCGACGACGAGCGGAACAAATGCAACTTGTTATGCCATCATCAACACAACCAGATGACAGTGATGCCGATATTGACCCATCGTCAGAGGTCAACTATGTTCGAGCTGCGACTACGAAAGTTGACGATGAAGTTCCAAGCACTTCAGGTTTGCAGAACCATGTTCAATCCCCTGGTTGGTTAAGTGGCATGCTCCCAGAAGAAATTGCCAAAAAGCAAAGAGCCGATGCTCACATTGGGCCTATAATAAAGGCTAAAGAGCTTAACAGGAAGCCAGCAAGTAATGAAATGCAAAGAGAAAGTCGAATATCGAGACATTACTGGTTATTGTTTGACACCCTAGAAATACATAATGGCATACTTTATAGGAAATTTATAGGGTTAAATGAATCAGATGCTAGGCTTCAAATGATTGTTCCTGAATGTTTAAAAAATGATATACTTTATCAGTCACATAATGTTCGATTGTCAGGACATTTAGGTACCAAGAAGACTATAAAGAAGGTGTTACAGCATTATTACTGGTTTGAATTAAAAGACAGTGTCCGTCTGTATGTACAGTCATGTCATACCTGTGCCGCAGACAGGATACCCAAGAAAACACCTAAAGCACCCCTAGGTCACCTTGCAAGTGGTGCGCCATGGGACACTCTTGCTATCGACTATCTTGGTCCTCTTCCTAAAACCGAAAATGGTAATAAACACATTCTAGTTCTCACTGACCACTTTACTAAATATGTTGAGGTTATACCTGTAAAAAGCCAGTTAGCAGAAGAGTGCGCTTCGCATATCGCAAATGACTTTATATGTCGGTGGGGCGCACCTCTTTCAATACACAGCGACCAAGGAGCTGCTTTTGAAAGCAAGCTCTTTAAAGAGCTCTGCAATATTTTTGAAGTTAGGAAAACCCGTGCAAGCCCAAAGAACCCAAAGGGTAACGGACAAACTGAGCGATATATCAGAACCTTGTTGCGTATGATCAAGGCATACATTGTCGAACAAGATGAATGGGACCTCCATTTAGGCTGTATTGCTGCAGCATATCGGTCTTCTCCCCATGAAGCGACGAAGCTTACGCCAAATATGATGTGCCTTGGTAGAGAGATTCGAATGCCGGCAGATCTAGTGTTCGGCTATGTTCGTGAAGATCAGGTTGTCTCTCCTTCAGAACATGTAGAAGTCATAAGACAAAGGATGATGAATGCGCATGATGTTGCTCGACGCTATCTTAAAACTTCCGCAAAAAGAAGTAAAGAGCGATATGATTCAAACCTAGAATTTTCAGTGTATAATGTAGGTGATTTAGTATGGGCTTTGCATGAAAGCAGAAAAGTTGGTGTTACACCGAAGCTGGAACATAAATTTGATGGACCATTTATGATTCAGAAAAAGATGTCACCAGTTACCTATGTATTGCAGCTTGATCGACAAGGAACCAAGAGAGTTGCTCATCATGACAAATTGAAGAAATATCTAGGTTGCGAAATACCAGACTGGTTAGAAAGAGCTCAAAAGTTGTTGCTAAAAGATGCTAAATCCAGCAATGATTAATCTGTTATTATAAGCATCTCAAGAGCATTATGTATCTTGATCGCATATTTTTTGTATCTAATGTCTATTTATATTATTAAAACTTTACTCAGTTTTATGTGCTTTTCTCCTCCATTGGCGGAACTTTTTCGAACGCAAAGAAACCGAAGAACACGCAGTAACAGCGGTCGAACGTTTTGTACAAGAACATCGTAGTTCTGCGCTGGCGAGATACCAAGTGAACTATATGATACAAGTCTACCTGTAAAGTAAAAAAGGGTCCCCCTTTTGTATATTTTCAGATGATGGAGGCTCAACAAAGGAGAGGTCGATTGTACTCCTGTTTGCATTGTATTGGCAATAAGGTTACGTATGTGGCAGAGAGGTACCGTGTGATGGACCATATCCAGAAGCATCACCTTGCATTAGACCAGGCGGCCTTTTATTGTAACCTCTGCATGTTCAGATGCCTCACCAGAGACCAATTAGAGAAACATCTGACAGGCTACAAGCGTCATGTGATGATGGCCAACACACCTGGCATTGGTGACCAAAGGAGATACTTGGTGGCGAATCCAAGTCCCCGTAAGATTACAGAGGGCGTTGATTACAGACTGGCTAACCTAGAAGACCAAGTGGGTCAGCAGTTTAAACACGTTGACCCATTTGAGGAGACTCCAACCCAGTCGCTTAGTGTGGCCAAGTCTCAGGACCTAGTTACAGTTAGGGTGACACCAGACGTCCTGGCCACACTGACTTCCATGACGCCTAAGGCTCCATCCACTGTCACTAAGGTAGGAGTGCCAGCATCCACCTCAGAGCTCCCCAGGTATGATCCTTTGAGGCCTGGGCTCCATGATTTTGACGACCTGAGCGATCTTCTCAGCATGCCAACATCTCGACAGTCTCACACCCAGTTATCCAGTAGTGTGTATGTCCCTACGCCGCAGAGCACTACCCTTTCTGTAGCCAAGCGGACACCTCTTCACACACCAGTGCTGCGTAATGACGAGGATGACCTTAACACACAGGTGCAACACCAGGCCAACAGGGAGGAGAACGTCCTTGATCAAATACTAGGTACCAGCACTCCCATGACGTTCTCTCCTGTAGGAGCGGCATCTGTCACAGAGGCAGAGAACCCCGTGATACAGACCACCCGTGAGCAGGCGACCCAGACAAAACCACATCAGGAAGAACTGGCCCAGAGGTACCAGCCCCTAACTGCAACTATTGGTCACCTGGAAAATACGCTCCAGGTATCGTTGGGCAAGGTTACCTTCGCCATGGATTCAAACACCAGAGCAACTCGCCACTTAGGGCAGACCCTAGAATCCATGGCTGAATCCCTTAGAACCCTTTCGAGGTCTATGGAACGATACGTTGAGGACACCAGAAGGTACAGACGTGATGAGAGCGCAACAAGATCCGAGAAGAGGCCCCGCACAGAGGACAAAGAGAACTCTCCCACTCTGAAGTCGGTAGTCAACAAGAAAAAGAATAATAAAAATTAATTTGTAAAACATGTACTTTTAATTAATGTAAACTCTAAGATGAATTTTCAAATTTAAGGTTTAATGTTTTTGAATTTAGACATGCAGATATATTAAGATTTGAATCAATTTGTGATGCAAAAGTATTTCATTAGTAAGAATTATTACTTACGATTCATTTCGGTCTATCTTTAAGTGTATTCATCGTAATGTTAAAAATAAGGATATTATTTGATTATTTTATATATAAAAGGACTTCATATTATTAAAAATGTAATTACCAGTCTCTTGTTTGAAATTTATGACTATGATGATGTTAATGTTCACATAGTACTATTTATGTTAAAAAAAATTCTTAAGATGTTGCATCACATCACTGAATTGTTAAGGTGGTTCACCACATCTTCAATATTTGTGTAACATGACATGAACTTAAGGTTATGGCAACAGGAGTTTTGTCATGGAAAACCGGGGGGTAATGTAATGATCTAGAAAAGTTTACCTGTTTACTTCATTTGTTCATTTTTACTTTCTGTCATTCATTGATCCTACTTTCGTTTTTGAAGCTTTTACTGGCAATAGCACATTAGTTGACTGGTGTCTTAGTAAATTTTCACAAGACATCAGATCAATGTCACGTATCATGCCAGATTTTATTCTAGTCTGTGAGTTAAGTTTAAATCCCTATATGTTTTCCATGCCAGAATCTGTTGTGTCATGTGTTTTCACGACTTGTTTATCTTTCCATGTAATTTGAATAATCCCTCTTATAAGTCACTATTTATGTTGCATATCAAATTAATCCATGTTTATGAATGTTTCTGCAAGATAACTTTTCTAGAAACTTGTTAAATCCTTCACATTTTAATATTTTATATTTGACCTCGTTCTGTATTGTGCAGATCCGCCATCTTGGAATTGACTGTGAGCAGTTGCTACTAGCAACAGTCTGAGGCGGGCTATTTGAAATCTTGTTTATTATTGTTTAAACTAGCGTATTTTTACGAAGAATGATGTTTAATTCAAGAAAGAGAACCTTTGAGGTAAATGAGTGATTTATATATGAATTATGTATTTTTCCTTATATTTTTAAGTAAGATATTGATGTTTTTTTATTTTTAAGAGCACCTTGCACTTTGCACACAATACACAGTTGTGAGCTGTGAGCCGCACATCTCACACTGGTGGGCAGTGAGTCTCACATCACAGACATGTGAACTGTGAGCCCCACATCACACATTGTGAGCTGTGAGCTCTGCTAGTATATAAACCCTGCTCACAAATAATCTTGGCTTCACACATTTTTTTCTTGCTCCGAACTTACGGACGTTTTCGTCAGTATTTTAAACTTAAGGTGCGCTCTAGATTTTTGAAGATAAATATTTTTCATAAGTAATAACTTTACAACAGTCATTCTGAATTGTTTAGAAAAGTTAAATTTACACATTATATACAGTTTTTATTCTTGGTTATTATATAACAAAGAATTAGTACTTGAAATAGATCTTTTTTATGCTTAGTTCAACTGGTATCTCAATTCGGCGAATCTGTCAGTCTTAAATTAAAGACTCGTGTATTTTCTGGATACCGTATCATCTCGTGCATTTTTAAAGAAATAATAGCGATTGTAAGAATTGATTTACTGTTATTGCTAATGCAAACATTGATGCATATATACATGTTTTGATCTCATTTATTTATTTAATGTTATTCAAGTCTAGATATTAACTGTTGAAATATACTAAATTTCTATATACTTGATAAATAAATTCAAGTGAAACATCAAAATTTAAACAGACTTATTTGTTTTCTTATTATAATTCAAACATTTGGTGACGCCCAGAACTCTAGCAAAGTTCTGATAAGTAATACCTGGTCCATAAATAATAGGCCTTAGAAAGCTACCAAAACTATACTGTCTTGATATACTGGTTTCAACAAGAGTGCAGCAAACTTCTGAACTCCAGTCGACAACTTCTAGCCTAGAATTACCATATGCAGACAGACTGATAAACAAAGAAGACCAGGTGCAAAGAGACTAGTGGCAATTAGCTGACTTTTATATGATCAGCTAGCAAGGTTCCCCGTTTATTGAATTGAAATGAATTTTCTTGTCTTGTAGGGAGGTCATTGTTGTAGTCACCCATGACTTAACTTGTACCTTTCTCAATAATTAATTTCTGCATATAACACCTTCTACATCATCTAAACTGTTTTTAAATTCCCCCACAGAATGGTTTCTACACGGGAGATATATTTGCAAATTATACATATATTCGCCGGGGGAAGTAAATACTTCTATACCTGAGGCGTCTGTGGCCGAGTGGTTAAGGTCGTTGACTTCAAACCACTTGCCCCTCACCGCTATGGATTCGAATCCCGACAGGGCCTTTGGATTTTTTAATGTGAGGAAGCTTTCCAGCTAGCTTACGGAACGTCGGTGGCTCTACTCAGATACCCGTTCGTGCCTGAAATAATGCACGGAAGGGCACCTGAGGTCTTCCTCCACCAGTAAAGCTGGAACGTCGCGATATGACCTATACTGTGTCGATGTAGCATAAAACCCAAAACAAACAAACAAAAAACTTCTACACCTGTAACATTTCTAGATTGAATATCTATTGGTGATATCCTATCATTTTATGTCTTATTCCATAATATGGCAATCCCACCTATTCCGACTCTTCTATTTCCCATAATTCTTTGGCGCCTAATCTTATAAGGGTAATTTCCATTATTTTTTAACTTGTGCGGTCTATGCGAATTGATAATTTTCGACAGTCACCTCCGCGAACTCAAAATAGCGCGAATATTTGTATAGACCCCCAAAATGGACCTTTCCGTGAAAATTTTATTTCACGAATTCAAATACACGTACAGTATTCCATACATAAATGGAAGATTTTTTACAATATTTTATACAAATGCTCATCACATGGAGACGAATTGCTTAAGGTTGAAAAGTCAAAGGTCACACTTAGAGCTAATTGAAAGACTTTTGTCCGGAGAACAACTTCCAAATAAATAAGGGGATTTAAATATAACTTGGCACAAATGTTCACCATTGGGAGACGTCGTGTCGCACGAAATATTCAGGCCTCTGCGACCAAAATCAAGGCCACACACAGAGGTAAAATTTCAGATAACAGTAAGAAAATATGTATGAGGACCAGCTTTCTTGCAACACTTATAATCGTCAACATCTCCTAAAGCTTTTCTAACAATGTCGCATTTGTTTTGTACTATATCTTGCTGTACTTCTCCGCTACTAGCAGCACTATTTTAATTAAACGTACGGCAATATTGGTCTTGCAGCACAACCAGAACGTGCTGTTGTCTTCGGATTTTGCTTCTGGAAAGCGGCCCACTTCTTAGATTACCTTTCCTTCTAGAATGCAGTCCTCTTCTTAGTCTTGCTTTATTGCTGGAAAGCGGACCTATTCCTTGAGTTACTCCTTCATAAAAGAACAGGCATCCTCTAATATGAAATAGTTGATACTACTATGGAGACATCTTTTATGACAACAAAGAAAGGTATTGTTTCGGGAAAATAATCTTTTGTTCTAATTTTTGTTATAATAAACATTGTTTGTCTCTCAGTTCATTTATAGCAATGGTACGATAAGAAGCAATTGCCGTGACGACAAGTATAAAAGTATGTTTATTTTACCGCACTTTAATACTTATAGCTCGAACATGAAATTAAGTGCAAATAAAAGCTGAGCTACATATTTAAACATTGAATTTCATTTGATAAAATATAAATATCATAAAATTTGAGAGACAAAATGCATTAAAACAATAAAAATGTATTTAAAGAAGACTTGACATTATCACTTAAAAGGAGACACAGGCAATATTTTTATTTTTTATTTTTTTATACATTATCATGTAAATGTCCTCTAAATGAATACATTAGACAGTCACAGGTGCAAATCGTTTCTCATTATAAAGAATAAAATAATGGTTTTCTAACCTGACCAAGTGGGTCAGGTTAGAGCGTTTAGATATTACGACAGTTGTCACAGTGATCTTTGGAAACGTTAATGAACATGTCAAATGAATGACTAAGATTTGTTTCAATCATACAATATCCACAATATCTGTTATTGTAACTTCCAGGGATTGTTCAAGTCAAAATAACTTTATGACTCAGTGATTCTGCTTCTGAATTTCGTTCAACATATATACATATATTTACGCTTCAAACCCAAAAGATATAAAAATCATTAAAGATATTCTGCTAGAATTTTAAACAATGTCAATTTAGCGTGGTTTAAGTTCATTAGATAATTCGGATATTTTGTCATTAATTTGCCTGAGTATCCCTTTAAAAACTGACTAATCAAATCCAAGAGCAAAAAACACTGCGTTCGAGGCTCTTACATGAAAATAATATTTCAAATATTTTTTAAGGTAAGAAGACAAAACATGGACGGTGGCATACTCCAAAGGTGCCCCTTTTTGCGATCTTTTTTAGTCCATTTTGTTATCAAGTGATTTTAATTCACCATTTAGATAGACTTATGGCAGACGGTGTACGGGTAGAAATGGTTCAATCTTGCTAACTGTAAATTCTATGTCAATGAACTGCAACAATAGTTAGAGGCTTTAAATTGATTTGTGAAGACCCTAATTTTCATCTGGAGTAGCTGTATAAATCATCTCAGCCCTTGGTCAAGTTTGGCTCCTCCGTGAGGTCACATGAAACAGACATATGAAACAGACTTATACTCTGTATAGGAAACCTTACCAAAATGAAGTTTTTTCTGTATCTAAATATATGATGAAACATTTTCTTCGGGTCAAAAATTGTCCATCCCAAGTCACTTGACAAATTTATGTTAATATTCAAAACTTTGCTCCTTATGACATAGATATTTGTAATGAAGCACTGCCTTGTAGTCTCCATAAATTATGTCAATTACGAGTAAAAAGAAACTGTGACTGTGGTTTATTTGTGTTAAATCGATGTATTAAAAATGGCCACTCACATGAATCTATTATATGCAATTACATGTATTCAGATCCATGTCCCTTGCGCCTTCATTTTTTTCAGACTTCAGCCTTTACAAATACAAACACATTTTGTGTATGCAACAATTAGTTACATTGTATAATCAAGAACTTACTCTTTGTACCTACATTTTAACTCTTACCACTATGTTGGAGGGATCCCTTTTTACTAGTTTTTGGGTCTTTGTAATTGATATTGTCTTTTAAAATACAAACACAATTAGTTTTTGTGTGTACAACAACTTGTGAAAAATTTGAAACTTTGTATAATCAATTACTTATTCTTTGAACGTAGATTTTAACTCTTTTACCACTACTTTCAAGGGATGCTTTTTTCTCTAGTTTTTGGTCTTCTACAGTTTTGTATGTGATATTGTTGATTACTGGTGGTCGCGATTATGCTAGGTTATCTTCTATGAAGTGTTTAATTTTACATCTGGATTAAGTCGGGACCATTTTCTACATTGTGTTTGGGAAAAAAAGTTTTATATTAATGACTTGAGTGTCATCCTGTGACCTTATACTGCATTGAAGAATTTACGTCCCGTATCTAGTAATTGATATCAGAAGAGCTAGTCTTAGCTTATATTTTTCTTGAGGGAAAACATTTCATACTTATAACTGCTTGTGTAGATGGTTGTTCAGCTATTACATAATATCAGTATTGATTATTTGAGATCTTTGATTTTAATAATGATAGTGATGAAATTCAGATACTGCTTCTTGTGACTCAATCAAACGAAGACTGCAATTGTCATTTTGTTTGGTTTTGTTGTTTTCGAGAGATTTTTCCATTTCGATGATCTGCGACGATATTTATATGTTCGTATGTGTAGTTGCGATATAAAATCAATATGTTTCATGTGCAAGGTATTTAGTTACACATCAAAGACCCTTTGAAGGATGAATTTATTTCTATATTTTTCTCAACATGTTTGCATATAGAATAATGATATTGATTTATGTTATAATATAATATTGTTTTCGAACTTTCAGATGGTGCAAAACGTGCAATAGTTGGAGAAATCTACTGCTTAAAACAAGAAAATCACAAAATGTTTCTTGGGAATATACTCAGTCTTGGAAATGGCCAAACGGATACGCAAACATCGTTGAAGTTTATATTCCACCCGCATGGCAAAACGGGCAAAATGATTTCCTTAACATTAAAGATATATCTACTGCATGTTATATCTGGGAAAATTGTTCACAACAGTTTCATGTAAAACCATTCATTATAAAGAATATCCGACAATTCAGAAATCAATACTTTGCCCATAACACTTCTCTAAAAGCATCAGACTTAGAGAAAAGAAAAGTTTTCGATGTTTTAAAGGATTTGTTGCAAAATCCAGATGTACAAGGTCATATTAATGTACAAAATTGCATCAAAGACCTTTCAGATATTGAGCAGGGATACAAGATAGAAAAATGGATGACTGAAGTTGAAAATCTTTTAAAACAGCAAGATTCGATAATCCAAATACTTGCATCAAATTTGAAACAGCATAATAGCAATCTGAATATAAGTCTAGGAGACATTCAAGAAGGACAGGATTACTTGATTCAAGGGCAAGATGATTTACGAACAGATGTTGAAAACAATAAACACGATTTAACACTAGTCAGGAGTGACATGACCAGATTATTTCAAAAAAGCGATTCATTCAAATTCACCAGTTGGTATGCCTGGACGCATTTTCGAATGAGCAAAAAAATGATTGCAGTTGGGATTCTAGTCACTATATTTTTGCTGATGAATTTTGTCTTAAAGGACGAACGTCATGATCAAGGTATATATTTGGCCATATATATATATATATGCATCATGTTGTATTACCATGGCCTTTTCCAAAGGGTATATTGTTTCGCAAATGTCGATCTGTCTGTCGGTATGCCGGTCAAACCTATTTGAGCCATACCTAGTCTTCAAATTTAAAATTATCAGTCTCATTGAGTAGAAATACATTTATGGTGACAATGCATAAAGGACAATGTCAGAGTGATCCATAGCTTTCAGACTTCAAAGGACTATTTCCCGCATTGATTATATATCAATGATTTATGCCGATGCATAATATTGGTCAAGTTCACTGAGCTTGTACGTAAAAACCGGTTCCGTACAAAAATATAATCTTTTTTTTTATCATATAGCTTTGAAACTTCATAGCTTGTTGTCCTTTATTAAGTAGATGAACCCTAACTTTAAACATATTTTAATTACTCAGGTAAAGATGTGGAAAATCTTTTACTTGTATTATGTGTTGGTCAAAAGTCTTACTCACGGTGAAGGTTTTTTTGGGGGGATTGTTCATCAGTTCTTATTTACATGATAAAAGCAAATGAAAAAATATAGTTATTGCTTTAGGATTGAATACTATGTGAATATGATATGATTTAATGTGTACTTTTAAGTGACCTTTATAAATGATTACGCATTTTTAGTTTCACTTTTTGAAGAAAAAAAGTAAAGCTGTTATTATAACCTTATCAACGGCGTTAGTCTCGGCATTAGCTTATCTTTTTTTTCAAGTTCCTTTTTCTCACAAACTGCAAAGGTTATTTAAACTTCGTTTACATATTGATTGTCAAATGATAACGCCATTTTAAAAGGGCGAATAATCCTAAAAATCATTTTTGCAAAGTAATGTTTTTTAATCCTCTTCCGCAGAGTGGGTAGGGGATTATAAGAATCACCTGCGTCTGTCCGTTTGTCCTCCGTCCGTATGTCCGTCCGAAACATTTTCGTGTACGCTCCATAACTTTTAAACGCTTAACAAAATTTGAACTACCTTGGCAAAATGATCACCTTTATGAGACGATATGCAGAGCGTAATAATTAGGTTGCTACCCCCAAGGTCAAGATCACACTCAAATGTCAAGTGTTAAAAAAGTCTACATTCCGTGTACGCTCCAAAACTTTTAAACCGCTGAAAAAAAATGAAATAGCTTGGCACAAATGATCACCATTAAGACGATGTGCAGAGCGCAATACTTGGGTTGCTTCCCCAAAGGTCAAGGTCACACTTAAAGACTAAGTGTTAAAAGTTTTACATTTTATGTTCGCTCCATAAAGCGCTGATTTTTTTAAAATAACTTTGCACAAATTATCACTATTATGAGACAATGTGCAAAGCGCAATAATTGGGTTTCAACCCTCAAGTTTAAGGTCTCATTTAAAGGCCAAATGTTAAAAAGTCTACATTTCATATCCGCTCCGTACTTTTAAAACTGCTGCGATTTCTTTTAAAAAAATAACTTGGCACGAATGATCACCATTATGAGACGATGTACAGAATGCAATGATTGGGTTGCTACCCCAAAGGTCAAAATCACATTTTAAGGTCAAGTGTTAAAAATTCTACAAGTCATGTCCGCTCCATAACTTTTTAACAAAGGAATAATTTTGGAAATAACTCTGCTCAAATGATCACCATTACGAGACGATGTGCCAAGCGCAATAATTGGGTTGCTACCCCCAAGGTCAAGGTCACAATTTAAAGTAGGGCGTTAAAAAAACATGTTGTGTCTTCTCCATAACTTTTAAAGTGCTTAAACAATTGATATTAGTTAGCACAACTGAGAAAAGGTGCAGAGCGCAAGAATAAGGTTGCTAGCGCTAAAGTCAAGGTCACATATACAGGTCAAGTATTAAAAAGTCACTTTTTGTGTCTGCTCTATAACATTTAACGCGATGAATTGGCAGAAATCATCACCATTATGACACGATGTGCAGACCCAACATCCAGGTTGCTACCCCAATGTCAAATAACTTTTTGACTTTATTGGAGAGTTTAAATAACTTGGCACAAATAATTACTATCAAGGTCATGGTTTGTTAAAGGTCAAGAAGTACACATTCGTGTCCGCTGCAGAAGGGGATTTAGCTGTCCTTCAAACTGCCTTGTTTCAACTTCGATTTTAGCGCTGGTCAACCTTTTTGATACGGTCCGTTTTTTCAAAATCTATCAAAGCCGTTTAATTCATACTTGATAATATCAATAATACCCGCCCGTGTCCATTTTCGGTAACTCATGTGTTCTCGTTACATATGTTCAGCGGAATCAGTACCCTTGTGTTCCGACGACGGCTATGCCTTGCCCTTTCACCCTCTCCTTTTTTGTGTTTGTGTCCTGCTGAGCTCCATGCCGGTGATCTTGTTTCTGGGTTGTGTTGGGGGACGCATTTATTGGATGCTGCCCTTCCTTGTTGACCTTTGATTTCATATGGCATGCCTCCATATTAAAAGGATAGGTAATCATGAAAAAAAAATACATGTCAATTTCTCAAAGGCTGTGATAGTTAATCACTAAACAACCGAAATATGTTTTCAATTTTTAAGTGTAAATGCTTTTCAGGTAACTTTTTTCTCAGTTTTTCCCCTTTTGACTTTTTTTTGTTATTTTTTTGTTTAAGTATACATTTGTGTTTATCTCAAAAAGTATCAAGGACATTTACTTTAGACATGGAGTACCTTTACACTATCAAATTGAAATGCCTTACTGGGAAGAGGTATGTTTTGTTTTTATTATTTTACTTTTTGACTTAGAATTTTATTGAGTATCAAGAGCGGGGAAGTCTGTCAAGCACGTTTGTAAGATTATGCCCAATTTTCTTAGTTGATTTTGTTTAACTATTAAGCTCTGAGAAAAAGTGGATCGGGCTGTTGTCCGGGGGGCAGGTCTTGTTACTATAATTATATCATAGGTCCAGGAGCACTACTCCGTTTTGTAATCCATTCTTACACGATGATCTAAACAGCATTATTTTTAAGCTGTATTTCTTTTATTGAATTTCCTTTTCCGTCTTTCGAGTATACGCATCATGCTCTACTGGATCACACATGATATTGGTTCGGGGTATTTTCATCACAAGACAAAAGCTGACTCAATATACTGCTTTTAAGGCTCATTAGAAGTATTGTTCCATTTATTGCAGGATGCATGTCTGAACAGTATTATGTACCGTTTCCTCAAGATCTTCCGCTCCTGGGGTATCTGAATGAGCACAAGTCAATTGTAGATCGCAGATGGCTAATTAAAAGTTTGGAGGACGATCTATTCAATTCAAACAACAGTAAATATCATGGAACAGTAATTGTTGCCGAAATGGGATACGGTAAATCTGCATTTTTTTCAACATTGTTATGTCGGGGATCAATGGATATGACCAAAAGTATTCATAAACACATTGTTGCATTTCATGTGTGCAAGTTTGATGTGAGAAGCACTCATTTCCCAGAACGATTTATACGCAGACTTGTTGGATTCTTTGCAAAAAAGAGTGCAGAATATGGAAATAAAGTCTTAATGTTGCCTGAGAGCCACATTTTGTTTCACAGAGATAGTTGTAACAAAGAACCCGAAGCTTGTTTTGACCAAGGCGTAACTATACCACTGAAACAGTTATCTAGTGTTTCAGATACACCATGGATTGTTTTAATAGATGCAATTGACGAGTGTGAGAGCTCTGGGAGTAATCAGGTATTAGACCTTTTGTCAAATAGAATACAGCAGCTTCCAATATGGCTGAAATTTCTTATTACTTCTAGAAATGTCACAAATCTAAAATTGCTCAGAAAAATGAAGTTTGAATATTTGTACTCAAATGACTCAAGAAATATAGAGGACTTAAGGTTTTTTATTCAACAATCATTTCCCAAAAACACTAAATATGACATTATTAACAAACTTGTCCATAAAAGTGAAGGAAACTTCATTTATATCATCCAGGCTTTAAAATGGATTATCGATAACAAAGATAATGAAAACGTCCCTGACATTCCTGCAGATTTAGACGATATTTATGATATCAATTTTGGTAGACAGTTTGGTAAAACATCTTATAGTGTTCAAAAATTAATACTTGAGATCATTTGCTCGACGATGAACCCTGTTTCAAAATCAGAAATTTTTGCCATTCTTAAATTTTCAAACATTTCATTGACAATAGACGAGTTTGACCTGTATTTTAAGTCCTTAAGCTTCTTCCTAAGAGAAGGTGAAGATGTTGGCATATCTCACCAAGCTTTATATTTTTGGCTTATTGATAAAAACAATGAAAATTATCGAATTTCACTTAAGAATGGCCATACTCTGATATCTAAATATTTGTTTAATGAAATTGCTGACAAAAATAAGAAGAATATTGTTGATTTAGCGATTCATGTTGCAAACTCTGCCGATATTTCTTTAACAAAAATGTTTCTGTCTTCAATGTTTTTGATGAGTAACGAGGAACTAGAGGAGCCTCTTTTACATAAATTGATATGGAGAACGCCATGTGTTGAGGCACTAGAGTTATTGACAAATCATTTCCCTGATGTAAATGCTCTTAACGAAGGAAATGTTACACCGTCATTTGTGGCAGCAGCGAAAGGACATACTGACCAGTTAAAACTTTTACATAGCAAAGGTGCAAATTTAAATTTTATCGTCACAGGTCGAATGTTGATTCATTCTTATGATGTATTCAGTAAGCTAGAAATGATGAAGCTGTACTATTATTCAGGATATAGTTTGTTACATATTGCATCGCAACATGGTCATATTTCAGCTGTCATGTATATTTTGGCAAACAACCATTCTTTGGTTTATGTGAAAAATACTTTGGGTTTGAATGCTGGCCACGTTGCATGTGAGAATGGACATTTAAATGTAGTCAAACAAATGAGAAGTCTTCATACTAAAACATTCTTCTATGAATGTATGTATTATGCGTCTAAACATAATCATAAGCATATTGCAGAATGGCTTGCTTCAAATGGATTTACGTTTGAATGTATTTCCAACCAGCGTTCCTTTGAAGCTTTTCAAAACGTTACAAAGAAAGGTAATTTTCATTTATTTGAGCATGGAATTGGTAAATTTCCGAATGATTTTATTACATCAAAGCTTATTGTCCCATTAGATATTTGGTGGATTGTTTTTAAACATAATCCACTTATGATAGCAATTAAAACTGGTTCAATAGATGTGGCTAAATATTTACTAAATACTTTTGATAAAGCACGCAAGTGTTATGATGCATTTGGGTATACAGCAGCGCTTGCTAGTGTTCGCTTTAACCGTACTGAACTATTCCCACTACTAAACGACGAAATAGAATCAGACAAATGTGGAAAAATTCCAAACCATCTAGAACATACAGAGCCAATGCATACTTTCATAGATACTTTTTTATCGGACAGATGTCCTAAAGGTGGGTCACTATCACATGTTGTAGCTTTATATGCTCCAGATTACCAAATTTATTCGCATATTATCAGGAATAGCCTCGATGTGAACTGGAACCATCCCGATAGCTTTGGAAATTACCCGATTCATTATGCCACTGCAAACCGAAATTTTGTTTTCATTCTTTTGTTTAATCAAGGAACATTTTCATCTGAAAGTAATTTTCTTTCATTGACAGATACATTGGCTTTAAATGGCTCAACTGCTTTTCACACTTCTGCTATATCTGACCAATACCTAAGCATGTATTGCCTTACTGATTATTTCAAGAAGCCAGTTCCAGACATAAAAGACTACAACGGACGTGGGATAACACATTATTTAGTATTAAAAGAGTTTGGTAGTATTGTTAGCAGTCTAGAAATGGAATTGCATGTGCAGTCATTACTTACTCTCCGCTATTTGCTAGATAAATCAAATCATTCTGTTACGGCGCGTGACAGTTTTGGTAGGAACATATTGCATTATAGTTTGAAAAACGGTCATTACCAAGTAGCGTTACACTTACTTAAACATCAGACGACGAACTTTTACTCTATGTTAACAGATGTAGATAACGAAGGAAATAATCCGTTTGACTTTGCTCTGAAGAAGTACGAAAGAAAGAATTACGTTATGATGTTACCAGAACATGATTGGTTTTCTGACATATACGTCAAGTCCGCAAATATCAAATCGGAAGACTTCCCAGACATAATGTCATCATGGGAGCTTACAATGCAATACTTAATATCAATTTTTTCTGCTCAAGAATACCACCTCTTTGTTGAGCCAAATTTGAAGTTTATAATGGAGAAAAGTCCTTATCTTCTAACTGCTGTATTGTCATATCATAAATATGTAAATGTGAAAAGGTTACAACGTCTGCTAGTTGAAAGTCACGTCAATCCTCTTACATTCTATATGCATTTTGTTGTTGCTGACCTTAAACCTTTAGCATTCATTTCATGTAACCAACCACTATCATTGTCACCTTTGCATTATGTATTACTTACGCATAATCACAACGATTCAGTATTTCATTTACATCATGACGACTTGCATTTTTTTCTTTACATGATTTTCCGACAAAATATAAAATCTTATGCGTTTGAATGTCCTGATAAAAACGGATTTAACATACTTCACTATTCTTTAATCGGTGGTAATGTTCAATCAGCCAGAATACTCATGGGAGAAAATATTACCGTAACAAACGAATATGTAACTTTAAAAGATGTTTTCTTGATGACTATGCAAGGTCGTATAAAAAGCAACCAACTTAATTATATCAAATGTTTTGAGCACCCATCCAGTCAAACGCAGGAAAAATGTACAGATAAGTTTCTAGTAGAATTGGTTAATGCGAAAAGGAAATCGTTAAATTATAACTTCTTCTGTTTAAATAAAACCAAAGAATTATCTCTTGTGCATTTGTTTGCAATTAATGGAATGTCTCTAACGATAGCATCTATTGCACAATTGTTTGGGAATGAAATGTTGAATTGTCAAAATACAGACCGATTTACCCCCTTGTATTTTGCAAAACTCTTCCGCCAATATGACATTGCATCTTTGATTGGTGAGCATTACGGTTTTAAGCGCCCAACTGTCCAGGCAGAAGAATGGTTAATTTGGTCTTTGTTGAATAGGTTCCCACAAACAAATGTTATAGAACCATTGTTTCATTTTTCAAATTCTTTGCCCCTTTCACCATATTCTTCAAGGCACATTTTGAAAGGTTCAGTTTTTGTTTTCAATTGTTTTAATGATTCATCATTAATAGGTTTCGTAGATTATTCACGAATTTGTGATCATGTAATAGGTAAGCTTTTATCGTCCGATATACCGAATATCTTATCTGATATACATCTTTTGGAATCATTTTACTTAAAAAATGTATCAATTTCTTGTAATTCTGGGCAAGCTTTACTTATACACAACCAAAAAATGTTTCAAAGAACCATAACAATTATTTCATCTATGCAATATATAGAAAACGGATGTGACCTTTCTAAAAGGCTTTTGAGACCATTTCTTGTCAAATGTTACCAAGTGAATAAGTTACTAACACAGTTGAAAACTAGAACAGTCAGTGATTGTGAAAACAAACCTAGTTTCAATCTGGAGAGAGCGATAAACTATCAGTTGATAGTTTCAGCAAGGAAGTTATGCTTAAAACTCCATAGATTGTATGAAAGTGTAGCTATTTCATTTCTGATACAGTATGGAAAAACATTTAAAATTCGACTACCAGAATCATACAAATTTATACATTTAAGAATGACAGCACTTAAATTTAATGCTCAAAAATATTTTATGCCTTTATCAAAACTTCATCCACTTATTGCTATAAATGACACTTCTGTATATAGGCATAGATATCTGAACATAGTAAAGTCAACAATCGCTTATAAACATTTAAAACGTCAGCTTGCAGCAGAAAGATTCTCTTATCAGCCTAAGATTGAATTCCATGTTATTGAGCATATCCTATTAAAAGGGCCTTTTCAAGATTTAGAATAGTTAAAGCAACATAAAGTAACTTTACAATAAGAATTAAAAACATGACGAAATTTATTATGCCCCTACTTCAAAGAAGAGGGGGTATATTGCTTTGCATTTGTCGGTCCGTCGGTCCGTAGACCAAATGGTTTCCGAGTGATAACTAAAGAACGCTTAAAGACCCGTAGATGACCCCTATTGATTGGTCATGACCAGCAGATGACCCCTATTGATTTTGGGGTCAAGGGGTCAAAGGTCAATGTCACATTGACCTTGTAGGTGAAAACGGTTTCCGATCAATAACTAAAGAACGCTTAGGCCTAGGAACTTCAAACTTGGTATGGTGATTGGTCATGACCAGCAGATGACCCCTATTGATTTTGGGGTCAAGGGGTCAAAGGTCACATTGACCTTGTAGGTGAAAACGGTTTCCGATCAATAACTATAGAACGCTTAGGCCTAGGAACTTCAAACTTGGTATGGTGATTGCTCATGACCAGCAGGTGACCCCTATTGATTTTGGGGTTAAGGGGTCAAAGGTCAAGGTCACATTGACCTTGTAGGTAAAAACCGTTTCCGATCAATAACTAAAGAACGCTTAGGCCTATGAACTTCAAACTTAGTATGATGATTGGTCATGACCAGCAGATGACCCCTATTGATTTTGGGGTCAAGGGGTCAAAGGTCAAGGTCACATTGACCTTGTAGGTAAAAACGGTTTCCGATCAATAACTAAAGAACGCATAGACCTAGGAATTTTAAACTTGGTATGTTGATTGGTCATGACCAGCAGATGACCTCTATTGATTTTGGGGTCAAGGGGTCAAAGGTCAATGTCACATTGACCTTGTAGGTAAAAACGGTTTCCGATCAATAACTAAGGAACGCTTAAGCCTAGGAACTTCAAACTTGGTATGATGATTGGTCATGACCAGTAGATGACCCCTATTGATTTTGGGGCCAAGGGGTCAATGTCATATTGACCTTGTACTTAATAACGGTTTCTTACCAATAACTCAACCATCTCGAGGTGCCTTGGTTGATATTTTTATATTAAACTAAAAATGTTTTGGTATACACATTTGAAGGTCTTATGTAATATAACAACTTGGCTGTCATTAATGAGGCCTACATGATTCATAAATTTAATGCAAGATTTGTAATAACTTAAATTGCTGCACACAACTTATGGGGTCACAATAATTATTACCTTGTGACTAGTCATGACCAGTAGATACTAGATAACCCTTATTGTTTGTTCACTGGGTCAGAAGTCATGCATAATAACCTGATCACATGACTAATTGGCTGCCGATAGGGGGCATACATGTTTTACAAACATATCTTGTTGCCAATATTAATTCATCAGTAATTTTTAGCTCACCTGTCACAAAGTGACATGGTGAGCTTTTGTGATCGCTTTTCGTCCGGCGTCCGTCCGTCGTCCGTAAACTTTTACTTTAAATGACATCTCCTCATAAACCGCTGAGCCAATTTCATCCAAACTTCACAGGAATGTTCCTTTGGTGGTCACCTTTAAAAATTGTTCAAAGAATTTAATTCCATGCAGAACTCTGGTTGCCATGGCAACCGATAGAAAAAACTTAAAATATCTTCTTTTAAAAAACCGAAAGAGGTAGAGCTTAGATATTTGGCATTAAACATCTTCTAGTGAGTGTCTATCAAGTTTGTTCAAATAAAAGCCCTGGGGTCAAAATTGGCCCCGCCCCGGGGGTCATTGATTTTCCCTATATGCATATAGTAAAAACTTATAAATTCTTCTATTAAAGAACCCAAAGAGCTAGAGCTAAGATATTTAGCATGAACCATGTTCTAATGGGTGTCTACCAAATTTGTTCAAATAAGAGCCCTGGGGTCAAAATTTGCCCTGCCCCGGGGGTCATTGATTTTCCCTATATGTGTAAAGCAAAAACTTTAAATTAAAAATTCTTTGAAAAAAAACAACAAATAGCTAGAGTTTAGATACTAAGCATGAAACATCTTCTAGTAAATGTCTACAATGTGTTTTCAAATAAAAGCCCTTGGGTCAAAATTGCCCTGCCCAGGGGGTCATTGATTTTATTAATGGTAAGCAAAAACTTAAAAAAACTTCTTTGAAAAAACCCAAATAGCTAGAGTTAAGATATTTAGCATGAAACATCTTCCAGTTAGTGTCTTCAAAGTTTGTTCAAATAAAGCCCTAGGGTCAAAATTGGCCCTGCTCCGGGGGACATTGATTTTCCTTATATCTGTATAGCAAAAACTTAAAAATCTTCTTTAAAAAAAACAGAATAGCTAGAGTTTAGATATCAAGCATGAAAAATCTTCTAGTGAGTGTCTCCAAAGTTTGTTCAAATAAAAGCCCTGGGGTCAAAACTGGCCCCGCCCTGGGTTTCATTGCTTTTAACTATATGTGTATAGTTAAAACTTAAAAACATCTTTTTTTAAAAAAACTCAACGAGCTAGTCCTTAGATGTTTAGCGTGAAATATCTTCTAATGGGTGTCTACCAAGTTTGTTTAAATAAAAGCCCTGGGGTTTAAACTGGCCCCGCCCTGGGGGCCTATATACAGGTGAGCGACTTCAGGGCCATCATGGCCCTCTTGTTTTCTTACTCATCATGACCTTAAAATTTATCGTTATAAATAGAATATATGTCAACGTGCTTTGAACTGAAAATTTTTTATTTCCAGAAAATATATATATTCTGTGCTAGAAATGAATGATAATTTTGTTAATAAGTAAATATTAACATTCTGATATTTTGTTAAAGTTGTCTATAAATGCAGTTTTAGCTAAGCCGTATTATACCTTTCAGGATTTGATTTTTATACGCCCGTCCACTTTTGTCGGGGGCATATCTCCTACAAGCATGGCGAGATTTTGATGAAACTTCATAGAAATGTTCACCACTATGAGGCATGAACAAAGTCTCTAGATCAAAGATCACATATAGAGATCAGTGAAAAATGCTTGTCGGGGGCAAAACGTCTGCATGCATTGAGGGATTTCAATATTACTTCGCAAAAAGGTTCTCCGTTGTGAGGTTGAGTGTCGTGCACCAAATTCAGGTTCCAGCGGCTAAGGTCAAGGTCACAATTAGGGGTCAAAGTTCAAATAAAATTATGAAAATATGTATAGAGACCATTTAGTTATCATTTATTGACATAATATATGAAACTTCATAGAAATGTTCACCACTAATAGAAGTTGTGTCCAGGCCCAAGAAGTATGAACCAGGTCTGTAGGTCATAGGTCAAGGTCACTCTTAGAGTCATTGAAAAGGGCTTGTCTGAAGCGAGATTTCTACATGCATAGAGGGATTTCAATTTTACTTCGCACAAATGTTCACCATTGCAAGGTGGAGTGTTGCGCGCAAAATTCAGGGAATGTCAAGGTCATAGCTCAAATAAAAATATGAAAATGTGTATTCCGACCATTTAGTTATCATTAATTGAAGGACTAAATAACACAGATGGACATTATCATGACCAGATCTGTGGCACTTGTAATCTAGGTCAATATATGCCAGGTCAAGGTTACAGAAGATGATGAAATATCCAGATATTGTCCAGAGCATATCTCCTACACGCATGGAGGGATTGTTATGGAGCTTCATAGATATGTTCACCACTATGAGAAGCTATGTCACGCACATGAACCCGGTCTTCAAGTCAAAGGTCAAGGTCACACTAAGAGGTCTTTGAAAAAGGCTTGTCCGGAACAAAATTTCAAAGGTCACACATATAGGTAATTGTAAAACGCTTGTCTTGAGCAAAATTTCTACATGCATGGAGGGATTGTAATTTTACTTGGTACAAATGTTCATCATTTTTCAAGGCAAATATATTAGGGTTATTGCGGCTTAGGTCACGCATAGGGGTCAAAATTCAGATAAAAATGTGAAGATGTGTATAGGGACCATTCAGTCATCATTTATTGAGGGATTTTAACACAATTGGTTATTATCATGACAACCGCTATGGCACTTGCAATTTAGGTCAATTTATGCAAGGTCAAGGTCACTAAAGATCATAAAATATCTGGATTTTTTCTGGAGTATATCTTCTAGATGCATGGAAGAATTTTTATGATACTTTAAAGAAATGTTTACCATCCCTTAATGTATTGCTTCTTCATACATGGTGAAGTTTAAATGTCAATGTGTTACAGTTAGAGCTTTATTCACGCAAATGTACTTTTAGACGTTATTTCAGCTTTTATTTACATTCCTGATTTTTATCATATAATGATTATGAACGGAATTGATTGATTGAAATTTAATTTAAATTTCTGAGTATTTTGTGGTTCATTTTATAAGAAACAATTGTATAATATGAAATATATTTATCAAAAATAAAAATTGCAACACATACATTATCTCAGTATTAAATTATTTTATTTTATATCACTTTATATTATAATTTGATTGGATAATGCTTATGTATGTACTTGACTTGTTACATGTGATTGTAAATATAAAAAAAAGATAGATAAATAAATAAATATATAAATAAAAGGACTGAATTCTTGTTTGATATTGAATGAGTCCAACAAGAAACCATTGATATGAATACAGCTTGTTGATTTTTGTGTAACAATTTTACTCTCATTTTTAAATTTGGTCCAAATTTTAATAGATCGAGTGTTCTTGAAATAAAATTATGATTCAAACTATCAAAAGCTTTTTCAAACTCAGCAAAAAATAATATTCCATGTTTTTCGTTTTGTTCTGCGTACTCGATTACATCAATCTTTTATATACATTTTCACCAATGTATTTGCGCTAAATAAATCCAGTTTGGCTATTGTCGATCAAGTTATTTCGGACACGTTTAATTCTATTAACAAAAACTTTACTCAGTATTTTATTGTCAACGTTTAATAAACGTATTTACCGCCAGTTTGAAAGAAGTGACCTTTTTTTTTTTTTTGGTTTTGGTTTTGGGATTAAGGTAATTAATCTTTGTGCCTGCAAACTGACTTAAAGATTCAGTTACGAATGAATAATTAAGACATTTTATAAAATTCAACGTTTATATCATCTGATCTATGACTTTTCCCATTTTTTCATGGTTTTAATTGCTTTGATACATTCTCCTTCTGTAATAATTCCTTCACATACTACTTGCTCGTTCTCGTTTAGCTTAGGGAATCTATTTTCATCATAAAAGTCATATGTTTGGTCTCTTTGTATGTTTTCATTGTACAGACTTTCAAAATAATTGTTTGCTCATTCAGAATTTCATTTTGGTTTGACGTAACATTATCATTGACATTTTGATTATTAATAAGTTTTCTTTCAGCATTTCTATCAGCATTTCTTTCAACATTTCTTTTCTCTTAGTTTTTTTAGCAATTTAATGTTGTTTTTTCACTGTTGTCTAATTTGAAATTTTAATTCTCATTATAATTGTATCGATATTTTCATTATAAAACTGTTCTAGTTCTATTTTTATCAATTCTAAATTTTCGTCAAAATCGCCAGCTATCTCATCTTCAATTATTTCGATTTCTCTCGTAAGTTTTCGAATTTGTTCTGTTTCTGTTTTCTTTTTATATTTTGACAATCTTATAAGTTTATTTCGTATTGTACTTTTAATAATTTCCCATCTGACTAAAGGGTTTGTGTCTGTATTAAGAGAACGTATTTCAATTTTGGCATTTTTAATTCTGTCTTTAAATTCTGTATTTAAAAGTAAACTGTAATTTAAACTGTTAAAGTAAACTTTATGTACTTTATGGTAAAAATGTACCAAAGTGTATGATTTAAGCAAACCTATTTTAGTTAAGGTTGAATGTTGTTTTATGTTTGGGAAAGATGTAAAAGCGGGCAGCTTGGCAAATTAGTATAAAAGTACAATTTAGTTTCCTTTTTCCGAAGAATCACATATTTTGCGAGTCAGTTTTATCTATTAGGTTACGCAATGCTGCCTTAATTTGTCAAAGAATGTTAAATGCAATATCCTTTTTTAATTTTATCTTGGTACAATGTATATTCATTATAATTATTAGGATGACTTTTTAGGGGATGAGCGGCCTGAAAAAATACAGAAATAACAGTAAAGTGGTATTGAAGAGTACTTACTAGGAAAATTGCATTTTGTAGTCCTGAGCCTAAGTAAAATCTTGTAGAATTTTCATAACCCAGTCACCATAAGGGGAAGTTCATGATACAAATTGCCATCTTTTTGTTAAGTCTGCAGAAGAGCTCAAGAAAGATATAATTTAACTTTGTAAAATGATATGTCATTGATTTTTCATGGTAATTGGTCAGAGCCTGGAGCAGTGTTTTTGTCAGATTCCTGTTTAGTTTCTCTCGGTGGCTTTTGGAAAGGAAATTGTTTCCATTTGCTATTTTTAATTTAATAAAGAATTGTGCAATATGGAGCGCTCGAAATGCTGTTAGCCTGTATTCACTTCTGGGGAATTTTCTTTAACATCACCTCGGTCAATATGTGATCTGCTGGTGAATATCACATCATAGTCAATGGCATAATAGTCAAAAATTGTAAAGTAATAACAACTTTTCTATTTGATCAGGATAACGTTTTTTCTGTCAAACTAGTTATGTACGTTCTACTGGAAATAAGATTTAAAGTTTCAACAATTATATTAATTAAATAAAATACTAGTATTTGTATTAGTAGTTCTATATGTAACCAGAAAAAGTCAATCACTTAATAATTGATAAAAATGTTGCCAGACCTTTGTTGATTGAACGGTAAGAAAGGTCTACATGGTCTTGCCGAGTGTACCTAATATTTTAAAAGAATTACCCCGTCAATTGCAAGTAATTACTGTATTATATTTAAAAGCAGCTTTTTTTCATTCCAATATATATGTATGAAAGCTACTTTCTCTGAATTGCCATTTTCAACAAATAACAGAGTTATAAAAGAGAAAGTTATGGCTAGTACCTAGAGGTTTTCCCGTAAAAAATCACAAGAAATCTTCATGTGGTGGCTCCTGGTGTATCTTAGATGCAAATAAAAAATATAATTATTTACATATTTTTCTCAAAAATTCAGACTTAAGAACATGCAAGCTATTATAGTAAAAAATCTCTGAAAAAAATCTAAAAATAAACTTGAGGTTTCTGTGCATTTCACGTTCATAATTCAAAATTCATGTTTCTACAATTTCAAAGAAGATATCAGTCTTCACACATGTTTGTCTGGATAGCTTCTGATGCAGTTTTAGGTGTATATTTTATAATAAACATTTCTCAGAAATTTTCAAACATGCAACATTGTTTAAATAACCATCTTTGAAATATGGAACTTTCACTTATTAATTATATAAATGACTAGGACTTCCTTTAAATTTGGTTGAAAACAACATGTCATTTTTTCAAAAGTGCAAGAAAAAATGGGTGGGGTAAACTATATGAATTTAAAAGATATTGACAGATGGGAAGAGGTCTGTAAAATGATCGTTGCAGCCATTGCGGCGTTCCCTTTGCCGTCCGCAAACTTTTACATTGGTAATATTTTTTAAGTTTTGGTGAATTGTCTTCTTATTTGGCCACAACAACCCATGGGGCAAGACCTTCAATAATCTTCCCAACAGTTGCACATATTCAACTCAAATTTGACGTATGGATACGTCAAAGGAATTCCAAATCCATATATTTAAAGATTTGTTAAAGGAAACATGGCAGAAAAAATCTTCATGGCGTCACGAATAACCACGGCACAAAGTTAACGTTGATGACGACTGAGTATTTTAATTTAAAAATACACTTTACTAAACGAGTATGGTGTTTCATTACTAAGATTCAGTTTGTAACTTTAATAACAGCTGTATAATGTTTTACAGGTATTCCGCCACCACAATCAAACAGGGTTGTTTTGTTTGTTTGTTTATGTTGTTGTTGTTTTGTTTGTTGTTGTTTTTGTTGTTGTTTTTTTTTTGGGGGGGGGGGTGTTCGAAATCATTGAATTTGATTTCAGATATTAAAAAGATTAAGATTCTTTATTTCTAAATACCAACGACAAAGATTTTAAATAAAACAAAAAAATATTTTACGCTATTATTATATTTTTCTCAGTTCTAAATGCCTGTCTGAAGCCTTTCAGTACTACTTTCTTTAGCTTCCCTTTTTTCGTCCTGTCTTTAAGGTTTTCCAACATTATTTTGCTATCCTGGCATTAACTTCTTGAAAACTATTAAATTCTCTTTAAATTATTCTCATGCTTTTGTTTTATCAGTCATGTATTTAAAATCTTTTTTTTTATTTACATAATTAATTCTTTAACAAAATTTTTCCACTTTGGTTAAACGACATGGTTACACTTTTGCAATGTATGTTTAGTGATGTTATGCGAAAAAACCGATCGGGCTCCCTCACGAGAGGTAAGGTTGAGTAAACAAAATGAATACCACTTTGCACATTGTGAGATACTTACCGTAATTCTATTCCAGCGCTAGTTGAGGAGACCTTTCCTGAGTTTCCGCCAGATGAACACATCTGCGGATGTTTCAAAATTGTACCAGTTCATATTAAATGTTGAATTCTGCTTAAGCCGGTGCTAGGGGGCGTGGACGGTAACTTGCACTTTCCAGTACCGTCCATGAACAGGCTCAATCAAACCGAGCCTGCAACATTTTCAATTTTGCCGTGTTGGGCTCTTTAGGGATTCTGTTTTTCTCTATTCGAGTCAAGATTGAGATTAAGTATCGTTTCTAAATACGGGCCTTAATCTCGGTAAACTACAACAGTTGCACAGTTCATTATTTATATACGGGGAGAAGAAAACATTGGCTTTCGATTTGAGGAAAATGTAAATCAAAAATGTTTTGCAACAAAGTAAGAAATTTTGAATTGGCCTTGAAGTGTTAAGCTTATAAATGTAAATGTTTTTATGCACTTTTGTTTTTACTGACGACTCGCAAAGTAAAGCGTGTCATTCTGCAGTAAATCATGCCTCTTGTTCAAAATCCATTAGAATAAAAACACACACGTTTTGAAATGGTAAAATTAAATACGAGGGACGGTCAGAAAATATCCGGACTTTTCATGCTCCACTCTTTCCACGTGCAGCTATATACACACATTATATATTGGTGAAAACTACATTCATTCGCCAATAACGTGGTCAGTTTATTTTCAATGATAGTTGTATATACACAGTATTTTGCCCCTGATATATGATAGGTATTTCGTCTATCATGGACTCTTTGTTAGAGGAACAACGCTCTGTAATAAAGTTTCTGGTTGCAGAAGGTGAAAAGCCCTGCCACATCTTTCAGAGGCTTAAAAAAGATTTTCTGATAAATGTGTATCACGTTCAACCTTCTACAACTGGGTTTCTCAGTTTCGTGAAGGCAGAACAAGTGTTTGTGATAGGCCTAGGACTGGGAGGCCAGCTGAGGCGGTGATCCCAACAATGGTAGCAAATGTTAAAGCTTTTGTCAACAAAAATCGTCGAGTAACTTTGGAGGAGGTATCCAACAAGTTTAGCATCGGTAAGGCATCGGCACACAAGATTTTACACGAACACCTAGGCATGAGCAAGGTAAGTGCCAGGTGGGTGCCTAGACAGCTGTCCGCAGATAAAAAGGCAACCAGAGTAACCGATGCAAAAGAACATTTAAGTCGTTTTAATCGTGAAGGAGATAAGTTTTTGAACCGCATTATCACTGGAGATGAGATCATTATTCCGAACCTGAGACAAAAGCTCAGTCAAAGCAGTGGAAACGAGCTGGTTCCCAACCTCCTATAAAGTTTAAGCTGTCTCCTTCGGCTGGAAAAGTCATGCTTGTTATCCCCCGCCGAAAAGGCGGCGGGGGATATAGAAATAGTTTCCGTCCGTCCGTCCGTCCGACTTTCCGTCCGTCCGTCTTTCCGCCCGACATTTTTGTCCGGAGCATATCTCTAAAGGTATTTGAGTTATCAACTTGAAACTTCAGATAGATAGACCTCATTGAGGAGGAGTGCAGTGCACAAGAATGATAACTCTACCCGGCATAATTTTTGAGTTATTGCCCTTTGTTATTTTTCAAAATTGATTTTTGTCCAGAGCATAACTCAAAAGGCCTTTGAGATATCAACATGAAACTTCATAGGTGCATAGATCTTACTCAGAAGGTGTGCAGTGCATAAGAATGATAACTTTACCTTTCATAATTTTTGAGTTATTGCCCTTTGTTATTTTTCATACTTAATTTTTTACCCGAGTGGAGCATAACTCAAGTGTTTTAGATGTCAACATGAAATGTCATAGGTGGATAGATTTTATTGAGGAGGAATGCTGTGCAGAAGAATGATAACTGTTCCCTGTACATTTTTTGAGTTATTGCCCTTTGATCTTTTTCATACTATTTTGTCCGGAGCTTATCTCAAAAAGTATTTGAGGTATCAACTTCATAGGTGGATGGAGAATGATAACTCTACCCTACATAATTGTTTAGTTATTGCCCTTTTTTATTTTTCAAAATTAATTTTTGTCCAGAGCATAACTCAAAAGGTCTTTTAGGTATCATTATGAAACTTCATAGGTGCATAGATCTAACTCAGGAGGTGTGCAGTGCACAAGAATGATAACTCTACCTTTTATAATTTTTGAGTTATTGCCCTTTGTTATTTTTCATACTTAATTTTTCAATTCAATTTTTTTCTCAAAAAGTATTTGAGGTATCAACTTGAAACTTCATAGGTGGATAGATTTTACTGAGGAGGGATGCAGCACACAAGAATTACTTCTCGGACCTTACTTTTAAAAAGGGCAATAACCTTTAATAACAAGAAATAACAAACACCACACATAGTTCATCTTTAGTATTAGGCAAATGCATGTCTAGCTGTACACATTTTATACAAATAATTTGTATTAATTAAATACTCAAATAAATATTTAATGTTAATGTATGTAATTTAACATAATTATAGAGAAAACCCGCCAATCTTAGAAAATTCAATAATGACAATGCATAAGCTTTAAGAACAAAGCAGGTAACAAAGCATCTTAAATACAAAGAGACATTCAAGCAAAATAAATCATACATTTCATGCATATACTGACACAAAACAAAGCATATAAACACATATCCATACATGTGAATTATCTTACTTCAGACTGATGACTCTTAATTAGCAAAATAAGAAGACAACTGCTTCTTATCAATTTTTTAAACAAAATCAATTTAACTCAAACACTCCCTCAATAAAATACATTCTCCAACTGTGTGTAAGAAAGATTCACATATATGCACATTTCAAATTACAAATAATTAAACAAAACTGTTAACTTTACACATACAAAAAAGGCTAAAACAAGCAAACAAGCAATAAACTCAAATCAAAATTCTAATTTGCCGATCAACATACATAATGGGTTGGGTGGGAGGGTTTTCTTAACTTTGACAGCTAGACAACAAAGGCTCGAATGACTAGAAGTACAAAATTGGCGCGACAATAATCTAAAAATAAACGACCAATCAGAAAACAGTTCACCAAAGTCACGGTTTACTCGAAATAATTAGTTATTTTAGATCTAAAATATATCAATTACTTCTCGGACCTTACTTTTAAAAAGGGCAATAACCTTTAATAACAAGAAATAACAAACACCACACATTGTTCATCTTTAGTATTAGGTAAATGCATGTCTAGCTGTACACATTTTATACAAATAATTTGTATTAATTAAATAATCAAATAAATATTTAATGTAAATGTATGTAATTTAACATAATTATAGAGAAAACCCGCCAACTCAAGGCCAAAATAAAGCAAAACAAAAGGCTAAACAATAAACAATTATTACATTTACAACACATATACAAATAGATTTACCTGTAATAAGTGTACTAAGAAGTGCCACAAGTATCTTTGATCATCAATCAGACACCTAATAATTTAAGAAGTTAACATTGAAAATTACGTAATATAATTATACATTTTTTTTTACTTAAGTCCATATTCAAAATGAAATAAATAAAATGAGTACCCAACATACTGAAATAGTATAAATCTAGTACATTATCTACCACATGAAATTCAATTCATTTTAGTCCTAATATCAATAAGAAGTACAATGTAACTGTACATCAAATATTGCAATCAACTCATTTGAAATAAAAACATGGTTATAAAAGATTAGAAATAACCCGTAGAAAAAAATTGTGCAAACGAGCACCACCTTCAGAGTTTAGATGTAAACCTCCATCCAAACGAGCAATTAAATGTCGTTTAATCTGACCTTTAAAACAAAAAGGCCTGTATGATTTAAGAAAATGAAAATTTAAATCCTTGGCCATGTTTTTCTCCAAATAAGCATTTAATTCGTAAATAATGGACCTAGAAGAATCATCATCCACTGGACGAGGAAGTACAGATGAAATAATAATACGAATCCCAGGGGCACGAGCACGTAAATAATTAACAAGATCTGCAAATGCGCTACACATAAAGGCAACACTGTGACCTTTAGCAACATTATTAGTACCAACATGTACTATTATAAAACTGAATGCAGATAAATTAATTGTAGACAATTGATGTTGTAACCTTGTAATTGTAGTCCCTGGGAAGGCACTCAACTGTACTCCCTCTATCAATGGCAGATGCTTTACAATTGAATCTCCTACAATTATACCACAGCGAATTTCTGAAAATACATAAAATAAAATTAAATATACATATACAAAGGTATGAAACATATATACCAATATAAAAGTAACATGAAATCCTTTCATACTACTATTTACAGAATTATCATCTATGTAACTGATGACAAACACAACTATATAACAATTAATGAATCAACACCCTTGTTTAAGAAGAATGTGATAATCACTTAATTAAGTATCATACAGTACAAGAATTTCTATTGGTAACTTCACAGGACATTGAAAACCATATCTTACCCAGTGAGTCTAACCATCCCACTGAAAGTAAAACTCCTTCCCATATAAGGCGAAGGATAGAAGTTAACCAACAGAAAAACTAAATACTTACTGAATCTATTCCTTCTCTAAATTCTGAGAAATTAATTTTGATACTGTTATTTTATCTTCAAAGGAATATTGTAAATATTCTTTATATGCATCTGAACGCCAATCCCCCATGAGCTGTATAAGATCTGAAGAAAGACCTGACCTAAAAGCAAAGGTAGCCATACCTCTTCTAAAGGAATGAGTTGAATAATTATCTGGATTTAAACCTATTTGAGAAATGTTCTTTTTTATAACAGTTTGGAAATTAGAATAAAAAACTGGCTTTCCAGATTTCAACAGAAAAAGGGGTGAGTCTGTATCTCTAGGAATAAGACGCAACATATCATTATAAGCTTTCACTGGACACAACCTTCACTAATGGAATCAATAAAACTCTTTCACCATATTGAATTGTTTTAGACCACTTGAATTTAACCAACAAACCAAAATCTGTCAATGAAACATCTTTTGATAGCAAAAATTTTGGATTAACCATATCTTTTTGAATTGTGGGCACTAAATTTGACTTTCTAGCTAGAAGAAAAAAGGCAAACAAAAACAAACACCAGAAAACCACATCCTTACAATTAGACAAATCAAACACATCAAAAAGTTTTAATAACAAACCAGGGGTAATAGGTTCAGCCTTTTTAACAAGGTGCAATTTTTCTTTAGCCAAACCTTTCAAAGATAAATTTATTAAAAAATTGTTAATATGATCTGTACCATAACCTAAAATTGAATGAAAGGTTTTAACACCACTAATATAATTTCTAATTGACGATACTGATTTGAAACTCCTTCCCAAAAATTGAGTATATAATTGCAATGTCTTTGTAGAAGCAGGTAAATACCGCAAACTAAAGTAGAGACAAAACAAAAGAAAGGATTCTACTTGAATTCGTAGATTTCTTCTAGAACCTTCAGCATATGCTTTTCTATTTGTAGAACCAAGCTCATATTCCAACTGCTTAAACTGATCCACTGTAACATAAAATATACATGTATATATTTAAAATTTAGCTTATATACATATGTATAAAATTACCAAGAATTCCAAAATCTAAAATCCTCATCTTGTACCTTATACTGCAGCAATTCTAAACTTTCTGTCAAAGCATAGAATTTTTCTCTAAACATTTTATCACTATCCCACCTAGATAGATAATCAGCTAATCTGTTCTCTTCAGAAAACAAATGTTCTGCTCTTAATTCGAATTCATTTGAAGCCGCAATAAAACAGATTTCTCTTAAACAATCCTGCAAGAAAGGACACCTCGCCCTACCAGAATTTAATGCTATACAAACTGACATATTATCACATAAAACTTTGATTCTCATATTCTTAAAATGTTTACCCCATAAATGTAAACATACTACCAAGGTAAGCATCTCTAATGCTCCAATATGCAACTTTTGATTTAAAATGAACTGAGGAAATTTAGAATGAAAATATATGCCATTCCAAAAACCTCCACAACCACTTAGACAACTATCCGCACTAAAAATTTCATCAGCATCACTCCAATTACCTAATGACATCAAAGAAACACCATTATATAATGGTAAAAAAGAATTCCACCATGCAAGATCTTTTTTAACTTGTGACGGAATTTCAAAACCAAGCAACTGAGATTAATCTGTATACAAATCACGTAACCAATTTAATATTCTTGACACCATTACTCGACTTTGTCTAACACATGAACCAATGAATTGTAATTTTCCTAACAAAGACTGAAATTCTTTTAAAGTGGCATACTTTTTATCTAACCACAACTTGATCAAGTCCCTAATTTCAACCAGCCTTTCATCATTAACTCCAATAGTAAGATCATTACTATTAAATAATATCCCTAAAAAGGTCATAATTTGAGAAGGAGGATTACTTTTCTTTATTGATTCTTCAATTCCACATTTCTGCAATAAAACCGCTAGAGTATTATATGCAAACCAAGCATCTTTGGGATTTTCAGCACCTGCCAGATCATCTAGATAATTTAAAATAGGTATTCCCATCCTAAACATCATATATGCAATTGCATTAGTCACTCTCTGACAAATCTGAGCAGATGATCTACAACCCATAGTCAAAACAATATCACAAAAAACATGTTTTTGCAATACATAAGCTACCAAATTATAATTGGAAGGACAAATACTTATTTGTCTATAAGCTCTAGATAAATCTTTTTTATACATCAAGGCACCTTTACCTTTTGCCAATACTAGTTTAACAAAATCATCAATCTTAGGAAATACCAAAGAAACAGGATCACCCAAATAACTATCCTTTGGCACATAATCATTTACTGCACATTTTGTAACACTGCTTAAATCTAGTATAACCCTTCTATCCTCAATTGTCTGTTTTGGGACTGAAGTTAAGGGGGAAATAAGCAGATTAGAACTAAAGGGATTCTTTGTAAATGGACCAATAATAGCATTACACTCTAGTTCTTTTCGTAAATAACTGGTTATCTGATCTGAAAATTCTTCGGCACCCTTATAATTTTTATACTGCCAAATTTCTTTAGTAGAAGGCAATATTTGTTCATTCCCTTCAAAACCTATTTGGAAACCAAATTCTAATAAGTCACAAACACCTAAATCACTGTAGTTAAAATGTGATAAAATTTGACGCATGAAACATGTATTGATCTTTTTATTAACTGGAATCCTGCAACCTTGAAAGTTATATTTCCCTGATCTTTTAACCAGTTCATGTATTCGAACCAAATTAACTGTTTCACTAGAAAACTCTGATGGATTTAAGACTTTACATACCTTACAATATGTTGAATGGGAACACAATAAGGAACTTACGGGCTTATTAACCTGACAAATATTGTTGTAAATAGACTCTTCATTATCTCCTTTATAACCAGTACTGTTTGAAAAACAAAAGCTTGGTAAAGATTTGTCAACAATATCATTGTCTTTATCAAATAATGGTAAATGTGACCACAGTCAAACTGACCAAGAATATGGACATGAAGATAAGCATTCTGGATGTTCTAACCTTTTCTTATCTTTTGACCAACAAGCAGCGCAAATATGCTGTGCCAAACGCATCTTTCCACGAAAAACTAAAGAATGAGGACCTTTATGAGCACATTTATTTTTTTGATAAAAGGAACAAAACCAAACCGTTTTTTTCCTCATCAACTTCTGGTGAAGTTCTTTGTCGGACACGAAAGTTCGAAACCCTGCTCGTCGAAGTCACTGGAGGATTGGGCTTGTTCAAAATGCATGTTTCTAAATAATGAAAATCATCCCCCATGTCTTTTCACCTAATTCGACTTCCCTCAAAACTGCAGCATAGAAAGAACGTAATATCTGAAAACTAAAATGAGAATTTAAGTACATAATAAACACAAACGACCTTTCTTTTCTGTATTATCTGTCTGTGGATCTAATATAATCTCTAACTCCCCGGCTACAAATAAATTGAATGGTAGATCTTCAAAGGCAATATTTTGACTGACATATTCATTGAGTCAATTGAGAATGGGGATATTTTTGAGAGTTTTTAACAGTATCTGTAGATTTAGCCTTGATTCCTGATGTTTTCGTGCTAAGACGGTTTGTCTTCTTCTTACCAGACGAACTTCTAACAGCAGAACCAACACTTGTCTCACTATCACTTTCAATATTTGACAAATCGGACTCCGAGTCAGACTCAGAATTTAACAAGCCTAATTTCTTTAAATGGCTTTGTACCAATTTATTCAAATCCGGCATTTTACGTAAACTATTAATGTCCAATTTATCATCACTAGACTCTGTACTTAAATGTTCATCTTTGACTTTATTATTGGACAAAAAGGCAGCAGGTTTAGAGGAAAGGCCCTTACCCTTTTTCAAAGAACGAACTCGTCTTTGTTTTTCTTCTAACTGCATTCGCAGTTCATCCTTCTTACGTTCTTGCAACAAACGTTTTTCTTCGGCGTCCAATTCTTGGATCTGTTTCATCATGAAAGCCATTTCGTCATCTTCTCCCTCATCCGATTTGGACGAAACATTCTCATCCGAAATCGATTCGCCAATTTTTCCTGGAGATGCATAAAGGGGAAGAACTCTAGCGTCCTGTTCGAATTCGTCTCCAGAATCTGTCGTACCCACTGTACTGAGCAGTTTATAGTTCAACGGTTTCTTATTTCTGCTAGACATCATTACGAATTACACAGACACAAAACAAGAATGTATGTGACGATTAAATAAAGTCAAAAATTCGTCACAAAAAACGCGTTAAACAAAATTTCACCAAAAATTTGTCAGAAATGGCCAATTTTGCACAAAATTGCAAATGATTCACCAAAGGTGACCAATTGTTAATAGATATTATTCAAATATATTTCCTTTAGATGTGATACGCCAATAAATAAAAACTGACGGACGAAATACGTCCAAATATTCGAACTCGATTTTTAATTTTCTTAAACTTGACAGCTAGACAACAAAGGCTCGAATGAATAGAAGTACAAAATTGGCGCGACAATAATCTAAAAATAAACGACCAATCAGAAAACAGTTCACCAAAGTCACGGTTTACTCGAAATAATTAGTTATTTTAGAGCTAAAATATATCAATGATAACCTATCCTGCATTATTTTTTTGTTATTTTCAGCCATCAGTATTCACATAGGTTTCAAATCTGTAATCACTATAGCCATCAGTTTTCATTACCAAAAGACCTCTTAAAATGGAAATATTCTGCTCTACTACATATACATTCTTCCAATGAGCAAACACATTCGGCGGGGGATGGCCATGTTGACATGGCTCTTGTTGCCTTTTGGGATTCACGAGGAATGATACTAACTCATTTCATGCCAAAAGGTCAAACTGTCACCGCCAAGTACTATTCTGAAGTAATTCTGAAAAATCTCAGAAAAAGCTGAAGCAAATGCGTCCCAGGTTAGCACAGAAAAATGTCCTCCTTCTTCACGATAACGCTCCCTCCCATACCGCCGCAGCTACAGTGCAGGTTATCAATTCTTACAAATGGCAATTGTTGTCTCACCCTCCTTATAGCCATGACCTCGACCCCTGTTACTTTTATTTGTTTCCAAAACTGAAAAAATGCTTGCTGGAAAAAAATGTAAGACCAGGGCGGCTTTGATATCTGCTGTTACACAGTACCTAAAACATAGGTCTGTGTCATGGTTCACAGCGGGAATATAAAAGCTCCCACGAAGATGGCAAAAGTGCGTAGACGTAGGTGGAGAATATTTTGAAAAAGAGTAGAAAGATTTTTTTTTTAATGTTGAATGGTTTTCGAGAACGAGTCAAAAGTCCGGATATTTCCTGACGTCCCCTCGTATATAAAATATTTTGGGATATTATGATCGGGAAAATAGAATAAAAAAAGCCCCGATAAATCGATTACGTTGTTTTATTTCGTCTGCTAAGATAAGTTGATCAGTGCAAAATAAATAATAGTATAGTCCATACTGTAAAGATCAAGGAACCTGTATTGATTTCAACTTTATGCCATGTCTTGAATAGAGTGAAACCAAATTTTGAATTTTAAATATTTAATTCTTTAAAAGCCTATTTTACTTAAACCAGAGATGTAGATAATATCATATTATCTATGTCTGTGCATAAACTAGATTTTCATGAAATATATCATATTAAGTCTGAATGTTAAATATAGGTGTAAGTAAAATAAGGATACAAGTGTATTAAAATTAATTATGCTTACATCGGCAATAAATTTCATTGGCGGTCTACACTTTGATAAGTCATTGCAGGTGTTGAGCAGGAAATTAAGAGGGGTCAGAAGTTATGAAGCTTATGTGTCACAGACAGGCAAAATAAATTCGTAACATGGGTGTATCTGAAATATTCAGTTGGTATATGAAGACGCTGGGTATGTTTATTTTTACGGTACACCAACACAGTATAGGTCATATGACACCGAAACAGAAAAGATGATTTTTGCTAACCTCGGGTGTTACAAACTTCAAAGCAACACCAGACCTGCTAGAGGTTAGTGATGCATATACTCCAGTTAATTGAACCCATTTAGTCGTGTCTTACGATCACGCAGGGATAAATGTTCTGCAAGTCTTATGCCTCAACCATTAAAGGCAATACCTTAGTCACAATGGGTACCAATACACAGAGAATTTCGTAAGCGGTTATAAACTGTGGAAGTAATCATTTGAAGGACGAGAACACTGTCAGTACGCATAATCAGCTCTTTTTAAATGAATGGTTTCCTTAGTAACGTTCAGCTACGTTTTAAACGTTACGACTCGTTTATCACAAATAATGCAATACGACGCAGTCTGTTATAATCAGGATACAGAATGATCATACTTGATCACGACGTATATATTCAATCTGGCCAACCATATACTGCATCTATCAAACATATTGATGGCGTAGGTGACAACCTAATGTTGCAACGTTATATTGTTTTCATTATAGTTTCATTAAAGTGATTTACTGAATTATAACCACCAAAGCAAGTATCCAATTTGTTTCTCTAAGTTATTTCTCATAGTGCTAAATCATCTGTATTTTCTAGAAAAGTCTGACTTGACTTAAACATGAGTAGGGATTTTGAAAGCGTCGCAGTCTTTCCCTCATACTGTTTGATGTTATCTCTCAAACTGTACAAAATGCTATATACAGTTGACAACTGAATGTGTCAATGAAAGAGCGTCGGTCAATATTCGTATTGAGTCGCGTTTAGTGGTATGTTTCATTTCATTTGCATCTTTCCATTAATTATCATTTGTGTCAAGCCTTCTTTTTGATTTCTGTTTAATCCGGTGCTAGGGACGTCGATTAAACCGAATGTTTTGCTTTCTTGGTTGGAGAAGAATGTTTTTTCCTTTTACGTAGTGGAATCCGACATAACGTCTCAGTTTCAGTTTGCAACAAATAGCATCACTGTTACAGGTCTGTAACTAAGAATACGATCATGATGGAACTTGCGAAGCATGATTGTACAAATATGGATTAAATTCCTTTGTGATCTTAACACACGCGCCTTATGTCCATAGTACTGAACTTCACACCTACGCATGGTTTGAGCGACTTAAACTAAGAACATAACGTAAATATTACCTTTTCTACATCCTCCTCTTTTGCTAAAATCGCACTGACATAAAAACTTAAATATGCTATATTTTCATTGACGCATAAAAGTTAAAAACACGATCAAACACTTTTGAAGAAACGTTAAAACAAAAAAACTAACAAATTACAATAGTGCAGGCGTAGTCTGGCTAAGCCTTTTCCTGGACGGTATGATTTCTTTTTTGCTTGGAATATGATATATATTATACGAGTTGACCTATAAACGTGACGATGATACGACATTACGCTCTAAACGTTTAGGCTAATTTCAATTTGTTTTTATAATTCTTCATCCATATGGATTGAGTTAATGGTAGAGTTACTTTCAGATAATATTGCAATTGGATACCTGCGCTATTCAAACACGGACGAACGAACCAAAGCGACTTATTTAAAATAGCCAGCATTGTCAGGGACTTCAAAAAGGTAACATACAGATAAAGAGAGGAATTCTGTTCCTTATTATTTCAAAAATGTGGTATTATATAGCTATTTTCATTTGACAGAAGGTAGATATAAAAATTCAGGAAAGAGAATTGAAAATAAACTCTTAATTGATACTGGCTTAAGCAGTTTACAATTTTTGTTAAACATTCAAGTGTTGAAATCAATGATTCTGATTAACTAGAAAAAAAATATAAAAACATTTTAGATGAAAATTTGGGCAACTTCAACAGGCACAATCAAACCGAGCTTGCAACATATTCAATATTCTGTTTTTAACAAATTTAAACAGAAGATTTTCATTAACTTAACTTTGAAGAGCAAGGTCAATTAAAGGTCATTGTCACTTCCAAATTATTTCATATATCTTTCTTCATATGGTCACAAGTTTGTTTGTTTGGTGTTTTTTGTTTTTTTATTTTGTCAGGCAAACTTGACATTTTACTATGATGCAGACAAACTAAGAACTCAAAAGATTTAAATTCATTTATGTCCTACACAGTCGCATAATTGATGGACCAAAATAATGTTGCTGAGGTTCTAATCTGTAGCTATATGGGACTTTTGATGCACTGTCCCCCATCTTTCTGTCTGTAATTGATTGTTAAATTTTCCATGTCGTACATGAATCACTATAAGCATTGTCATTAATCCTAAAACTTCGTCGCCAGCATTTCAAACCTGAAAAAAATCTTCAGGTACTGACCTGGATTTAAACCCCGGACCTCTCGATTGCAAGGCAGACACCCATTCACGTCGCTAAAGGGTTAACCCAACAGCAATTCTGTTGGAAACGGCGTGTACTACCTGTTATCAATAAAATAGTAACATAGTTATAAACAACACTTAAAATGATTAACTAAATGCATTACGAATCTATAAAACGGTTGCATAACGGCAATATGAATACGAGGTTTTATACTATACTAGTATGTTCGACGTTGTAGTTTCTATTTCAAGCAAAAATGGACGCGGAACTAAGGACAGATAGCGAACGTCAAAACTTTGTTTCCATTTATCGTGGTTTTGCATATGTTGGTGAAAAATTGGAGAGTTACACAAAAGAGGGACTGGATAGAACGTATCAAAACATTTATAAAACATTAGCGGGTTATCCTCCATGCACACAAAACTGCAGCAGAATTTATAAATGTCAGTTCGTGAAGTAAGTAGAATTAATCTGTTTATAAACTTTTAGTGTAATGGCGTTGAGATGTAATCTTAATAATGATATTGCCTAAATTAATGTCTAGATTATTGGATTTTAATATCATCTTTAGGGAAGTATTTTTTACTGAAAAAGAAACACGAAATACATATAGCTTTTAAGAGTGGATCGGAGTTTAAATTTGTTTAAACTTTCTTAGCTGTACGAGCTGAATGTAATCGATCGTTGCATAGGATGTTTACTAAAGTATGTGTTTGTTTGTATAGTGCGTAACAAATGATACGGAAATGCAGAAGTACTTAAATATGTAGTACTGTTGCTTTTACATATACATAACAAAAACATATCTGGGGCAATATACTCCCAGATATAAATTTGTTTGAGTCTTTCATCAATCAAGAAACTTTTTTTTATTTTTTTTTATTCTAATTATCTTTATGATACTATATGACGACCTCCAAGGAACAAACATTTTACCCTAGTGCATAATTCATAAAATTTTTATAGAGGTATAAATTCAAAAATATTTGAAAACAAGTGATTCCTCGGTAGCATTAAAAACAATAAATGTCTCCTCTAACGATCACGCAGGGATAAACGGTGGCTCTCAACCATTAAGGTAGACCATGGGTAATGGGTACCATAAGGAACTGTAAAATTGACAACATAGGACAGATATATGTCTTCAAGGTCACCTGTATGCAAAATTTAAATAAAATTTACCGTGTGGTTTATGAGTTATGGATATATTTCTGTTCTAAGACTTTGCCATTAGAAGGGCTTATTTTCACAAATGAGGAAACTTTAAATAATCTGCAATATCATAATTGTAAAAAATGTTTTTCTGTTGCTCATTTTTAAGAAACAAATAATAACATTTAGCTAGGTAACAAATAAATTACACAAAAAAATGTTGGTTTTTGAGCAAAATGTTATTAATATGTATAAAAATGTTACCCTACCCTACCCACTTTAAACACTAATTTTACCATTCCCCTATCTAAAATGCCTTATTAAAAATATCTCTAAAATTTACCATAATGAAGGGCTATTTTCAAAGTTTGCCTAAATTTTCTTAAAGGTATATTGGTTGGTCATGCGAAATATAAAATACTTTTACCGTGTAGTTTTTATTTTCTTAAACTTTGAAAATATCTGGTATCATATTTGCTATTAACTTTGTCATTATTTAGCAAATAAATACCTACACAAATTATACTATTTAAATCAAACCATTTTTCTTCCATAAGTGATCAGAGAGATGCATAAATAATGTTAAAAAGAAAAAAAGAAAGAAAAAAAGTTGCCCCTTCTGGGTTTGAACCCACGCCCCTCAATTTCAATGTAGTTGGCAATTGATTCTAACCTATTTGAATACTCTTCAAAGTGGATGTACTGCATTACCCATGGTCTACCTTAAAGGCAACTCTTCAGCCACAAATGCCTTGTTACTTAGTAAATTTACATATTTTTATGTTTTACCAGTTTAATTAATAAGACGAAGATTAAATCATATTAACCTATGATCTCCTCAATAATTATAATCTAAACAGAAAAAGGTAAAGTTTAGGGAAATAAAGGGATGTATCATACATATATATTGGGGTAAAACATATTAATAAAAGTCATACAAAGTAATCTCCCTTTGTAATATATATACTTAATATAAGGATTTTGAATGAGTCATTGTGACATTGACCTTGACCTGAGGAAGCCCTAACTTGCGCTCTGTACATCATCTCAGCAATATCAATATTTCTGCCAAATATATCAAATTTCCTATTGTCGTTTGCGGACACAAAATTTTGATATAAATACATTATGACCAAGTGTGACCCTGACCTGAGGAAGGTCAAAATATGAAAAACAAGATCAACAAGGAGGGCAGTGTTCAATTAATGCAACCCCTGCGATCTGCATATTGCCTCACTATAGTTAACATTTCTGACAAGTAGTTTCAATTTCCTTCCACCGGTTCAAGAGATGCAGACCGGATACAAAACTTACATGTAGTTTATATAAATCAATAATCCCTGGGTTCTGCACATCGTGTCATTATAAGTAATATTTCAACATTATGGTTAACATTTTTGCGTATAATACAGACTCTCTAATGGACAACAATAGAATTCTAGATAGTATAAGACCTTTTTTCAAATATTAGTTCATTCCACCATCTATTTTTACGTATGTCAATTTTAATGCTTCTTAGCATCATGTTTATTATCTAAATTGATTTCTATTTTACAATCACACTTATTTCTTTTTTGATAGATTGGCTGATTTTTTCGGGGAAGATTCATATCATTACCCATAAAACACAAGCTTCCAATATAGTTATCAAGAAAATCAGAAGTAAACAAAAACTTTCTTATTGATAATCACTTTAACTTTTACTATATATAGATATATATCAAGCCATCGACCATTAATGAGGCATAAAATCCTAAAAAATAAAACATTGATCAGCTCAGCAGAACACTAAAACAGAATGACATGCCAGAGATAATCAATAAAAAAAATCTCAGAAATAAATTGAAATCCTATTCTTATCCCGATTTGGGCGAAAAACGAGTTGCAATGCTTTTTAATTTTATGTCATTTTTCACATTTGTTTTTGAAATGCAATTAAATTTTATTTCAAAATTAAAATCTTTTCAAGATTTTTTTTTTGGAATCTCCTATTGTATTCCTTGTTTAAGAGTGTAAAAGTGTAAAAAGTAGTTAATTTACGGAGCAAGATGAAAAAAAAGTCCATTTTTAAAGGAACATTTGAAATAAAACGGAGTGAGCTAATGATTAGAATTCTCGCATGAGTAGTTAATCAAGACCAATATCAAATGGAACATTAATATCGAAAAATTATTTCCAGTCCCCTCATGTCAAAAACCTTAGTGGAGTCACTTAAGCAAATAATAACACCCAGTTATATTAAAACATGACAATAACGTGATATACATCAACTTAATGGTGATATTTAACACCAATAGCTTAAACAAAATGTGATGATGACTTACATTCCAGAACATTTAGTATAGTTGATTCATTACCGCTTGAGCAAATGCTTGGGGATGTTGCACAATACTTCACTTAAGTTTTGTATTTTCATGTCCTACGGGATCATTTATTCCAACCCATTTTAAAATCGAATACCGATAAAGCTGCTGCTATGGACCTTAAGAGATGCTACAAATTTACATTATCTCACATCATCAGATTCAATCAAACCAAGTCTGCATTTCATATCATAATGTTGTTATTATTCATTCCGGGGAATCTTCCTTTTTCCATAGTTTTATACTTTAAAATAGCAGGTGTAAAACGTTGCTTCGTACCATAGTGTTGTTATACTTTTCTGGCCCTTCGGGAATATCAAATACGCTTAAGCCGGTGCTAGAGGGTGTGAGTTTCCAATTTTATGTTTTCATTGCTTCTGAGAGTTCTTCCTTGTTTACACATTTGTGGAGTGAACAGTCAATGTATCAATCTACATGTATTACCATTTATTCGATTCAACAAATTTTTAACAGTGATTGCCTGCTGCAAAGTTATAAATGCAAGAATCAAGAACAATGTGCATGAGAGATAGACTTAAGTGAAGTAAAAAGGAATAATATTGCTTTAGTTAAAGTGTCAGATGAAATAGAAAAACTTGAAACATTATTGGTGAAACGTAATAATACGATAAATTATCAAGATAGAGAGATAAACAGCACACAAAAAGAAATTGAAGTATTAACTGAGAGAATAAATAAGGCTAAAGAAGATTTTAACGACAAAAACAAGAGACGAATTTGGTTGCGATTAACAAGGCAAAAAGTTAGTGCAAAGACTAAGCTTAAAAAATTAATGGTAAAAAGAACCTGTGAGAATGAAGAAAATCCACATTAGAAATAAAGAGAAGTGAATTAATTTCTGAAAGGAATAGGATAGCGGAACTTGTCCGTCAAGACAGCAATTAAAGGTGGGTGTTTTTTATTTTTACACTACCCCTCTAGTGGTAGCAGTAGTGTTTATGTTTTTGAAAAAGGAGTGTTTTACATAGATCTTTTATTTCTTTCTCTACTCTGCATGGCGGATAATACTTACATCAGCACTGTTCTTATTGCATTGTTAAATTTAAGTATAATTTTGTTATCTGATGTATTCTAAAGGTAGCTTTATATTATCTTTCAGGATGGAAGACAAGAAGAAGACATAAACAAAAATATAAACGGTGTTGAAATACTCATATGACTATTAATCAAGTGATTTATCATAACCACGAACGCATGTTATGTTCTATCGTACATATGTTTTAAACTTTTAAGGTTGACTGACGCAGGATCTTGAAATGAATATGCAATATCATTGTGGTGAAAATATCATTAACTCCTAAAGAGAGACGTATTTTATTTTATCAATGTAAACCAAATACACTTTACATGTTATAATGTACAAAATTTAAAATATTCATATATGCACCAATGAATATGATAAACTTACTCAATACGCTTGGCTTGTCTTTGAATTTTAATGGAGTGGTATGTGGTAGGTATTGATGTTTTAAAAAATGTCTAATCTGGGGGTATATACGAGATTCAATACTGTCAGATCATGGTGAAAATATACAATTTTGCAATTTTACAATTTTTCATTTTTTTTTATTTTTCCGGGTCGAGGGTTCGAATCCCACTGGGGATAAAAAAAAATTTTTTAAGGGGTGGTGGAGAAGAAAATCTTTTTTAAAAAGTAGGTTATAAAAAAGTGGGTATAACTGGAAATTATTTTTTTTTAGGGTGGTGCGCTAGACTCGCTCAATTACCATACTACTCTGAACCATCTTAAATATACAACACAAAGGAGTAACCCTCGAACCACATAAAAACATGTATTTACATTTCAAACAACATAAATATTGTTCACATAAAATGTAAACGTTATTACCCTAAAATAACCTTATTTTCTAAATCGCTTTGGTTAAACGAAAATAAAATATTTATTACCGAACAAGAGTTATAAGACATACATGTATGGCTAGGACATAATAAAAAACACACTTAAATGGGATGAAGACCTTTGCATTGTTTCTATATCGTTAAATACACATCAATACAAAATAATATAACACTTTATTTCTGTGGAAGCTGAAACTCTGTACTAAAATTTTGAAAGCTCACATTCTGAAAAGTAAACTGTTGTCTTTATTATTAACATATTAAAGCAAGAAGCTTTACTGCCAATAAAGGAAAAAGTTTGCTTTTCCAAATCCACTGCAAACAATTATATTCTAACAGTTTGCTTATCTTATAGTAAATAAAATGATGCATGTTTTAAGTCAGAACAAATTGTCAAAGATTAACGACAATTATAGGTTTGGATGAGAGGGCAATACGACCTGTTCAATACAATGCGAAGTCCTTGAGTGGCGTACTATCCACCTTTCAATGTCATATACATTTTCAGGTCAGGCAGCACGAAATGTTAGTGCTAAACTATGACAAATATATCTGGAAACAAAAAGATCCCTCGCAAGCATTAATCACAACAAAATCACATGAGAATTGCAGACTCGGTTTGATTGAGTCTGTACATGAGGGATAATGAATAAGTGCAATATCCTAAAACTAATTCAACCGTACATTTGTAATGAATACATCTAAAAATACCGTAATATTAATCCTCAGAACATCTTTAAATACATAAAAAACATTTGTTCTAAATGTTCAACTAATTCAAAAAGTCATGAGCATAAACTGATTGGGAGAAAAATGCAAAGCAATAATCTGTCAAAGATTGGTTAAAAAAACACAATTAATGATAAAAAACAAGGGCAAATAAAACTAGAAATGTGTCATCATGCCACGATGCCCCTGCATGCAGCCAAAATTTCAGATGGTGCATTAATTTTTTTTTCATTTTCAGTTCAAAGCCCTTAAAACTTTTCAATGTTAACACAAACCATTTTCATACACTGTTCAAGGCACTGAAATTATTCAGTCTTAACCTTTTAAAAATAGCATATTGCATATTTGTAGCCAAAATAATGGCTAAAAGTATGAGTGCTGAAACTGAAAGTTCAAAATTTTTCCAACATTCAGGAAAGATAAGTTTGTCTAAAATCATTGAACCACAACCAAATTCAAACTTAAACTGCTTATTCCTAAGATGTATCTATATTATTTTCAAAGTGAAAGGGACATAACTCTGCCAAAAATCATCAAACCATGACCAAATTCCAACTTGACCTGCCCATTCCTTTGACATATTTATATGTCAAATTTAAGTTGAATATGTAACACTGTTGGGTAGATAATGAAATTTCATATTATTTTCAAAGTGAACGGGGCATTCGTATGCCAAAAATCATTGAACCATGACCAAATTCGAACTTGGCCTGGGCATTCCAAAAACATATCCATATGTCAAATTTGAGTTGAATGTGTTGTACCATTGGGGAGATAATAAACGGAAACTGAAAATTTAATATTACTTTCAAAGTGAAAGGGGCATAACTCTGCCAAAAATCATTGAACCATGACCAAATTTGAACTTGACCTGCGCATTCCTTTGTCGCATCCCTATGTCAAGTTTGAGTTGAATGTGTTGTACCTTTGGGGAGATAATGAACGGAAACTGAAAATTTCATATTATTTTCAAAGTGAAAGGGGCATAACTCTGCCAAAAATCATCAAACCATGACCAAATTTGAACTTGACCTGTATTATCTCATGGCATATCCATATGTCAAGTTTGAGTTGAATGTGTTGTACCGTTGGGGAGATAATGAACGAAACTGAAAATTTCATGTTATTTTCAAAGTAAAAGGGGCATAACTCTGCCAAAAATCATCACACCCTGACCAGATTCGAAGTTGACCTGTATTTTCTCATGACATATCCATATGTCAAGTTTGAGTTGAATGTGTTGTACCGTTTGGGAGATAATGAACGGAAACTGATATTTCATATTATATTCAAAGTAAAAGGGGCATAACTCTGCCAAAAATTATCGAACCATGACCAAATTAGAACTTGACCTGTATTTTCTCATGATATATCCATATGTCAAATTTGAGTTGAATGTGTGCAACCGTTCTTAAGATAATGAACGGAAACTGATGATGACGGAATGACAGAATGACGGAAGGACGGAATGACGGAACAGGGTAACACTATATGCCCCGGCCATTACATGGCGGGGGCATAATTATCCTTTTGCACGGATATCAATATTGTGTGTGTTGCGCAGTTTAAAAAAATAAACATACGCAATTTTTCGAGGGAAAAATGTAATCATGGAAAATAAGACAAAAATGATTACCTTGTGGAAAATGACCAATTCTGAGTAATGATATAGAATTAGGGACCCGATATTTTTGTTTAATCGTATATTACTATCCCATGTGGATAGTCTCAATGAACCAAGGCTTATTTTTTTCAGTTGTTTTTTATGTCGATGTTCTTAAAAAAATCGTCCGATTTTACAAAATTTAGGATTTGTTTTTTTTTAACAAATGATGTGTGGCGACTTTCTAGGATCAATGAAATTAATATTTTAATCACGGGAGTATTCATTTAACGAAATTGTGGATTTGTCACGCTTTGGTCTTTAATTCCACTCGTAGGTTATAAATGAAAGCAAGATATCATTACCATTTTTGCATTAAACATTGGCTAAATTGATAGTGAATGATTTAATTAATGTGTTAAATCAAAATACATTGATCACTTGCATTTGATTGATATTTTCATAATATTTACATCTTTCAGATGGTGCAGAACATGCAATGGCTGGCGAAATCAACTACTTAAAACTAGGAAATCACCAAATGTACATTGGGAGCTCACTCATTCGTGGGAATGGCCCCACTCTTATTTAAATATAATTGAAGTTTATCTTCCAGCCTCATGGCAAAACGATGACATAGACATAAAGGACGTGTCTACTGCATGTTTTATCTGGGAAAATTGTTTTAAACAGTTTAGAATAAAACCGTTCATAATAAAGAATATCCGAAAGTTCAGAAATCAGTATTTTGCCCACAACACATCCCTGAAAGCAACTGATTTAGAAAAAACAAGAGTGTTTGATGTTCTAAAGGATCTTTTAAAAGAACCAGATGTGCAAGGCCATATTGATGTTCAGGAATGCCTCAACCATCTTTTAAATATTGAGCAGGGATACCAGATAGAAAAATGGATGGTTGCAGTTCAAGACTTAATTGAGCAACATGGGTTCAAATTGAATAAACTTGAAGACATTGCAACACATATAAAACAGCAGCATCACATTCTAGGAGACATTCAGAACGGCCAGGACTTCTTAATTGAAGGGCAAGAGGATTTACGAAGAGAAGTTGAAAACATTCAGACAGATTTAACAATATTCAGGAGAGACCTTAACAATTTATTTCAACGAAATGATTCAATATTCTCGAATTTGTTTTCATGGGCAAATAGATGTATCCCACAAACACAGAAAAAAATTATAATTTCAGTTTCGCTATTAATAGCCATTGTCTTTACGTCATGGATATTTGTTTTCAAAGGTTTTGTGTACGAAACAGAAAAGGACAAATATCATGATCGAGGTACGTTAGATGTAAACGATATGTGTAATTTTCTTTTATATCTATCCATTGCTTGAATAATTGTGTCCCCACTTTAGTGGCGGGCATTTAGATTTACCCTTGTCCGTCCGTCAGTCCATCCGTCCGTTCTTTTTGTGTCGCACGTAACTCAAAAAGTCAAGAGTTATTGCCGTTGACTTATTAAAAATTTGCAATTTTCAACTTGTATCGCACGTAACTCAAAACGTATTTGACCTAGAGTCATGAAACCTTACAGGAATGTTGATCATCATGTGTAGTTGTGCACCTGGGTATTTTCGTCTGGATTTATTTAGTATTTTTAGAGTTATTGTCCTTGACTTCGAAATTTTTTGCAATTTTCAACTTGTGTCGTATGTAACTCAAAACGTATTTGATCTAGAGTCATGAAACTTTACAGGAATGTTGATCAGCATGTGTAGTTGTGCACCTGGGTATTTTTGTCTGGATTTATTCAGTGTTTTAGAGTTATTGCTCTTGACTTATTAAAAATTTGCAATTTTCAACTTGTGTCGCACGTTACTCAAAAAGTATTTGATCTAGAGTCATGAAACTTTACAGAAATGTTGTTCAGCATGTGTAGAAGTGCACCTGGGTATTTTCGTCTGGATTTATTTAGTATTTTTAGAGTTATTCCCTTGACTTATTAAAAATTTTCAATTTACAACTTGTGTCGCATGTAACTCAAAAAGTATTTGACCAAGAGTCATGAAACTTTACAGGAATGTTGATCAGCATGTGTAGCTGTGCACCTGGGTATTTTTGTGTGGATCTATATAGTATTTTAAGAGTTATTGCCCTTGACCTAGTAAAATTTTGCAATTTTCTACTTGTGTCTTATGTTACTCAAAAAGGATTTGACATAGAGTCAAGAAACTTTTCAGGAATGTTGATCAGCATGTGTAATTGGCACCTGGGTATTTTCGTCTGGATTTATTTAGTATTTTTAGAATTATTGCCCTTGACTTAAATTTTTTTTGCAATTTTCAACTAGTGTCGCATGTAACTCAAAAGGGGTTTGACATAGAGTCATTAAACCTTACGGGAAGGTTGCTCAGCATGTGTAGCTGTGCACCTGGAGTTTCGTTTGTGGATTTATCTAATATTTGTAGAATTATTTCCCTTGACTTTGTAAAATCCTTTTCATTATGTTGTTATTTGAGTGCTTGAGTTAGAATCAAACAACGTTACAGGAATTATGATCAACATCACTAAATTACAGGAATAATGATCACCATCACTGTGAAGCTATGCACCTGGGACTTTGCATGTGGATTTTTTTTCAGTTTTGTTAGAGTAATTGCCCTTGACTTACACTAGTATAAATTTGCAATTTTCAACTTGGTCATGCATAGCTCAAAAAGTATTTCACTTGTAGCCCTGAAAGTTTACAAGAATGTTGGTCAGCATGTGTACTTATGGATCTTGGGGTTTGCTTGTGGATTTATTCAGTATTTGTAAAGTTCTTGCCCTTTACTTAGTAAAAGTTTTTTAGTTTTCAACTTGTGGCACATGTAGTCCAAAAAAACATTTGCCCTAGAGTCATAAGATTGACAGAACAGTAGCGTGTGGGGGCACCCGTGTACTATGGACACATTTCTAGTTTGAACTGCCTTTCTCGTTTTCTTTAAAACACTCGTTGTCTTACATTTAAAATAGGTCAATCTAATTTGTTTGGCTTTAATTTTCATCTTTTAATTATATGCACGGTTTGTGTATACCATTATGGTAGCTCACTTGTAGGTCAAATATTCTTCATATTATACATATTATATTACAGAATGTTGCGTAAATGAACCATGTCTATCAGAAAATAGTCATACAATAAGTCATAATGTCATACCGATTTTGCTCTTCAATGCTTGGATACCTATATAATCATTCTCTTTTATTTTGTTTTTGCAGCATGCATGTCAGAACAGTACAGTGTACCGTTTCCTCAAGATCTTCCGCTCCTGGGATATTTGAATGACCACAAGACACTTGTTGGACGTCAATGGCTAATGGAAAATTTGCAGCACGATCTGTTCAATTCTAACAGCAGGAAAAACCATGGTATTGTGCTTGTTGCCGAAATGGGTTACGGTAAATCTGCATTTGTTTCAAAATTATTATGTCCAGGGTCGATGAATATAGCCAAAGATATTAATAAACACATTGTTGCATTTCATGTATGCAAATTTGATGTACAAAGCACTCATTTGTTAGAACGATTTATACGCAGACTTGTTGGATTCTTCGCAAAAAAAAGTGAAGAATATGGTAACATAGTATCAATGTTACCCGAGAGTCACATATTGTTTAACAGAGACAGTTGTAACAAAGAACCAGAAGCTTGCTTTGATCAAGGCGTAACTATACCACTGAAACAGTTATCTAGTGTCACAGATACACCATGGGTTATAGTTGTAGATGCCATTGACGAGTGTGGGCGATCTGGAAATAATCCGGTTTTAGACCTTTTGTCAGACAAAATTAGACAGCTTCCAAAATGGCTCAAGTTTCTTATTACTACCAGAGATGTTCCACAACTAACAATGCTAAGAAAAATGAAGCTTGATTATCTGTACTCAAATGACTCAAGAAATATAGAGGACATAAAGACTTTTATTGAAAAATCATTTCCAAAACATACTCACAGAGATATGATAAACAATCTTGTTTATAAAAGTGAAGGAAATTTTGTATATATCATCCAGGCATTAAAATGGATTATCGATAACAAAGACAATGAAACCGTCCCTGACTTTCCTACAGATCTAGGCGATGTTTATGACATCAATTTTGGTAGACAGTTTGGTGGTACATCATTTAGAATTCCCAAATTAATATTTGAGATTATTTGTTCCACGATGAATCCTGTTTCAAAATCAGAAATTTTTGCCATTCTAAAATCTTCAAACATTTCATTGACAATAGACGAGTTTAACCTGTATTTTAAGTCCTTAAGCTTCTTCCTAAGAGAAGGTGAAGATGTTGGCATATCTCATCAAGCTTTATATTTTTGGCTTATTGATAAAAACAATGAAAATTATCGAATTTCACTTAAGAATGGCCATACTCTTATATCTAAATATTTGTTTAGTAAAATGGCTAACAATAATACGAAGAATATTGTTGATTTGGCGATTCATGTTGCAAACTCTGCCGATATTTCTTTAAGAAAAATGTTTCTCTCATCAACGTTTTTGATAAGTAACGAGGCACGAAAGGAGCCTATTTTACATCAATTGATTTGGAGAACCTCATGTGTTGAGGCACTAGAGCTATTGATACATCATTTCCCTGATGTAAATGCTTTTAACGAAGGAAATGTAACACCGTCATTTGTGGCAGCAGCGAAAGGACATACTAACCAGTTAAAACTTTTACATAACAAAGGTGCAAATCTTAACTTTATTGTTAAAGGTAAAATGTTGATAAATTCTTATGAGGTATTCAATAAGTTAGAAATGATGAAATTGTATTATTATTCAGGATATAGTTTGTTGCATATTGCATCACAACATGGACATCATTCAACTGTAAAATATATTTTAGCATTTAACCACTCTTTGGTTTATGTAAGAAATACTGTAGGTTTGAATGCTGGTCACGTTGCATGTGAGAATGGACATTTAAATGTGGTCAAAGAAATGACATCCCTTCATACCAAAACATTCTTCTATGAATGTATGTATTATGCGTCTAAACGAAATCATAAACATATTTCAGAATGGCTTGTATCAAATGGATTTACGTTTGAATGTATTTCCAACCAGAGATCGTTTGAAGCTTTTCAAAACGTAACCAAATTAGATCATTTCAATTTAATTCAGCATGGTTTTGCTACTTTTCCGAACGATTCTTTTACTTTACACCTTATTGCCCCCTTAGATATTTGGTGGATTATTTTTAAACATAATCCACTCATAACAGCAATCAAAACAGGTTCAATGGATGTAGCTAAATATTTACTAAATACCTTCTACGAAGCACGCAAATGTTATGATGCATTTGGATATTCTGCGGCGCTTACAAGTGTTCGCTTAAACCGTACCGAACTTTACCCACTATTAAACAAAGAAATAGCATCAGACAAATGTGGAAATATTCCAAACCATATAAAACTAAAAAATAATGAGCCAATGCATACTTTACTAGATACTTTCTTATCAGACAGATGTCCTGAAAATGGATCAGTATCACATGTTGTAGCTTCATATGCTCCAGATTACCAAATTTATACTCATGTTATTAGGAATAGGCTCGATGTGAACTGGAACCATCCTGATAGCTTCGGAAATTATCCAATTCATTACGCTGTTGCTAACCGAAATTTTCTTTATATTTATTTGTTCGAAAAAGGAACACTCTCATCAAAAGATAAACCATATTCATTGATAGAAACATTGGCTTTAAATGGCTCAACTGCTTTTCACACATCTGCCATTTCTGACCAACACCTTAGCATGTATTACCTAACTGATTCTTTCAAGAAGCCAGTTCCGGACATAAAAGACCACAATGGACGTGGAATAACACATTATGTAGTATTGAAAGAGTTTGATAGTATTGTTAGCAATCCGGAAATGGAATCGCATACGCAATCATTACATATTATTCGATATTTGAAGGATAAATCAAAGCATTCTCTTACGGCGCGTGACGGTTTTGGTAGAAATATATTGCATTACAGTTTGAAAAATGGTCATTATTATGTAGTGGTATACTTGTTTCAACATCAGAAGACACACTTTAACTCTATGATTTTGGATATAGATAACGAAAGAAATAATCCATTTGAGTTTGCTCTGAAGAAGTACGAAAGAAAGAATTACGTTATGATTTTACCAAAAAATGTTATGTTTTGTGACATATACTCTAGTTTCGCAAATATCAATGTGAAAGACTTTCCAAACATTATGTCATCATATGAGCTTACAATGGGATACGTTATATCAATTTTCTCTGCTCAAGAATATCGCCTCTTCGTTGAGCCAAATTTGAAATATATTATGGAGAAAAGTCCTTATCTTCTAACTACTGTATTGGCATATCATAAAAATGTAAATTTGAAACGGTTACAACGTTTGCTAGTTGAAAGTCAAGTCAATGCTCTAACAGCTTTTATGCATTTTGTCATTGCTCGCCATAAACCGTTAGCATTTATTTCATGTAACCAATCACTATCCTTATCACCTTTACATTATGTATTACTTACGCACGATCATCACGTTTCAGTTTTTCATTGGCATGACGTCGACTATCATAATTTCCTTTACATGATTTTTAAACAAAATGAAAATTCGTATGCGTTTAAATGTCCTGATATAAATGGATTTAACATATTTCACTATTCTGTAATCGGTGGCAATTTTCAATCGGCCAGAATCCTCATGGGAGAAAATATTACCATGACAAATAAAAACGTAACGTTAAAAGACGTTTTCTTGATGACTATGCAAGCTCGTTTAAAAAGCGACCAACGTAATTATATTGAATGTATTAAGCACCCATCCAGTCAATCACAGGAAAAATGTACAGATAAGTTTCTAGTAGAATTGGTTAATTCGAAAAGGAGATCGTTTAATTTCATCTTTTTTTGTGATAATAAAACTATGGAATTGTCTCTTGTGCATTTGTTTGCAATAAATGGAATGCCTCTGACGCTAGCAGCTATTGCAAACATGTTTGGGAAGGAAATCTTGAACTGTCAAAGTAGAGACCGCCTTACCCCCTTGTATTTTGCAAAACTCTTTAGCCAAGACGATATTGTGTCTCTGATTGGTGAACATTATGGTTTAACGCTTCCAACTGTCCAGGCAGAAGAATGGTTAATTTGGTCAATGTTGAATAAGTTTACACAAACAAATATTTCCGAACCGTTATTTCATTTCTCAATTAACGCGGTCCTCCCACATTATTCTTCTAGGCACTTATTGAAAGAGTCAGTTTTGGTTTCCAAATATTTTAATGATTCATTACAAAGGGGTGTCGCAGATGTTCCTCACATTTGTGATAATCTATTTTTACAGTTGTTATCGTCAGATATACCGAATATTGTTTCTATTATAAATTCTTTGGAATTATTATACTTTAACAATGAATCCAGTTCCTGTTATTCACGAGTAGCTGTACTTATGCAACAACACAAAATGTTTCAAACTACAATAATTAATTTCATAACTTTTCAACATATAAACGGATGTCACGTTACTAAAAAACTTTTTAAACCATTTCTTGCCAAATGCTATCAAGTAAATAATTTATTTACAAAGATGAAAACTAGAATATTTAATGATTGTGAAAACAAATCTAGTTTCATTTTGGAGGGAGTGATAACCTATCAATTGATAGTTTCAGCTAGGCAGTTATACTTAAAACTCCATCGATTGTTTAAAAGTGTAGCTATATCTTTTTTGTTACAGTACGGAAAAACATTTAAGATTCGACTGCCAGAATCATACGAATTTATGCATTTTAGAATGACAGCGCTTAAATTCAATGTTCAAGAAAAATTTAGTTTGATATTAAAACTTCAACCACTTGTTGCTATAAATGACACTTCCATATATAGTCATAGGTATCTAAATATTGTAAAGTCAACAATCGCTTATAAACATTTAAAACCGCGTCTTATTGTAGATAGATTCAGTTTATTTAATCCGTCTGAGATAAAATCTAATGTTATTAAAAGTTTCCAATTGAAAGAACCTTTCAAAGATTTAGGATAGTTATAACAATATAGGTTAACTAACAATAATCAGTTAAACATGACGATATTCAGTGCCTTTGTCGTTTTAATTTAGTTGTACATGTAATGTTTATAATCATTGAAATCGGACTTCATAATGCACAATTTTCATTTTTCATAAAAACACATTCTGTACATGAAATAAATGATAACTTTGTTAATTTGTAAATATTTACTTTCTGATAATTTATTAGATATGTTGTATACATGAAGTTGTAGCATAGTCGTTTTCTCTTTTTCAGGATTTTTAAAAAATTTAATTGTTCACTTCATGTCAATCTATCTTGATCGATGCATCCATGGTGATGTACATACTTTATTTGAAAATATTTCGCCTCTTATGTACATGTTTTATTTTTATGATATAATGATAATGAACCACATGGATTGTTTGATTGATTGAATTTAAATTTAAACTCTTTAGTATTTCATAGCTGTCTATATAAAAAAAACAATTGTATTTATTGAAAACAAAAACTGCAACAACTACATTATCTCAGTATTCCATTTAATTTTGTTCTTCATGTTCTTTATTTTATAATATGATTTATTGAATTTTTATGTATATACTTGTTTTATGTAATTGTAAATAAATAATTGGAAACGAGTAAACGTATAGACTTTTTTTGTTACTTTGCAAGGAACAAAAACAAATTTAAGTAGCATTGAATTTAAGAATAAAAGCAATTACTGTATGAAGGTCAAAATACCACTTTGTTTACATTTCGCTACTTTAATTTCACATTCAACACAACCATCTTGAGTGATTGACTGATAAGTATCTTACATACTCTAAAACAAATATGTAAACGTTATAAAACTCATTTTTGTCCTTTTTTAAGACGGATCTGTGATATAATGTGCCTTTAAGGCGTTTCACATTTTCATCAAAAGTGGTTTTGTAATGAATTAACTTATCCACATATCTTATAATTTTCCAAACCATTGAAACCAAATCTGGAGAAAGAGTGATCCCTCGGAAACATTAATCGAAACAAAAATACATTAAAATTGCCGACTACTTTTGAATGAGTCTGTACACAAGGGATAATAAAATGTGCAAAATACCTCACACCCCTAGCACCAGCTTAAGCGATACTCAATTTTCGATACTTAAAAGTGCTGGAATCAATTATCCCGAAGACCCAGAAATATATATTAACATTGAAGTGAAGAAGTTAACACGTGTTGTTGTGATGTGCAAGTAACTTTATAAGGAGTGATCCCCTGGAAGCATTAGTCACGACGAAATTTCATGAAAACTGCAAGCTTGGTTTGATTGAGTCTGTACATAAGGGATAATGAAGAAGTGCAGCAGCCCTCATGCCCTAGCATCCGCTTGAGTGTTACTCGATTTTTAACAATTGTGCTGTAATAAATGGTTCCGAAAGACAATAATTATATTACAACACTGAATTGAAGTATCTGCTTATCACATTTTTAAAATATCAATATCAAAAGCCAATAACTTAAAAAAGCCATAACCGATGGTATGTGTCGATCTCTGGATTATCGCCTGTATTATGATCATTCATAGTCTTATTATTTTTCGAGTAACAGGATGCAGGTAGTTTAATCCTTGCTATATTTTATAAAAATCATGAGTCTACGTGAATCATTTATTCCAGCAAACTTCCAAAATTCAACAGACAGCGCGATGCTTGCAGCTATCATATTGGAGATCAAAGAAAGCTCAACATTATGATCTAAGTATCGGGCATAAAATCCCTTTCGGCAATTACTTTGCTTTATTACCTGAGGACTCCAGTCCACGGGAATGAAATTAATTTTGAGGCATGGCGGATTACGTGACCTGGAGGGGCACTTGATCTGTAAGCCGTACGTGATTGGTTAATCACTTTTGTGTTCTACGTGATTTGGTTTTTTTTGTTCAGAAATACTTTTAATGAAACACTTATAAAAACATGTAAAAATGAATACATTTTTTTATCTTTAAAACATAACAGAATATGAAATATAAAAGTAGACCAAACGGATTAATGTCGTGTATTTGGATTTGGATTAACTGACACTACGTTATACTATTGTATAAGTTCGCTTATTTCGACGCATAATTATGCAGCTAGACTCAATGTTGTGAGTCCCATTTTTTGCCACATTTGTTACGTGGTTGTGAGCAATTTTTTCTCAAGTAACTAGCAAAGATAGGCAAAAATATAAATGACTGATATTTTAATGCAAATAAGAAACTACGGTCAAACAAAATTTTATTTGTATCAAAATCAAACTAGTGTATGTCATTTTTCATATGTTACAACTTGTTTATATATCTTAGAAGACACTTTTGATTAATAAAGGGAGGAAAACAGAATTTCTCAAGAATGCCCAAAATGTTGCAGGGCCTGTTCATGAAAGGAACTGGAAAGTACCATCCACATCCCCTAGCACCGGTTGAAGCAGAATTCAACATTTAAACTTGAAGATGTTATCATGGAACCTTCAATGTGACACGTTCGTGTCATTCCATAGAAAGCAGCGTATGGTTCATAAGTAAAAGATGCGTGTGTCCTAAAAGAGACAGCAATGGGCGAAACTAAATATCCCGCTTGCAACATATCCTAAGGATGATAATAAAGTATTCAAGTAGAGATACTGGAACCGCAAACCTAGAAAAGGTTCGAATAGAAAAAATAAAGGAAACAACAAACCATTAAATTTCTAGAAAACTTTCTTTTAGATTTGAAATGTTGTCTGCTATTATAAAGATCGCCTTGATAAGATCTAATAATTACTGGTAAGCTTGAATGGATACATGCATAAAAGTATTAAAAATGCTAGGAATCGCCTCGCAGCCGGGTATTTTTTTTTCTTTCATTAAATAGAATCACTCCTAAACATTAGAGCATATTTTTCGCCCTTTAAGGGAAAAACACTGAATCCTGTTAACCCTGCAGGGGCCTACACTCGTTCCGAGCAGACCTGGGGATGATAACATTGATCAGTAATTGATTAAATTACAATTACTTTCAGATTTTATTGTAACTGATTAAGTTTGATTACTCAGACTTGCCTCTGTAATTAATTAAATTACAATTACATGTACTTTAAAAGAGTAATTGATTGATAATTGATTACATTCAATGAACGGTAGAATCCCTACTTAAGATCACCCCAGAATTAAGACCACCCCGCTATTAAAGACATTTTTTAAGGTTCTTTATGTCAAGCGTTACATGATCCAGAGTTAAGACCACCCTCTTATCCACTTTCAAGACCACCAGATTCAGTCCAAATTTCTGAGCCCAACTATTGACACCACTGATATTAAAGTCAACACCTGTTATTGTTAATTGATCATGTGCTTGATTGGTCTTTAGCATGAGACTTGACTTTACAAGGTTTTAAAAAACTGTTAGTATTGGGTTATTGTATGAAATAAGGTGAGACAGTAAATTTTAGAGTGGTTTAATGTTACTTTTGTGAAGAATTGAATTTTTATTGGATTATGTACATCATACCATAATTGATATTGAAATCAGACTTATGAGAAATAATAATAAATTTCTTCATAAATATGATATCCGCTCATCAGATTAATTTACATAGCTTACTTTTATAGTGATTTTTATGTTGTCTTTGTAGGTAACATATTGTTTGTTCATACAAAATGACTAAAAATTGTCATAATGTATGTAAGCAATGATAAGAATATTCACTTTGGTCCAGCCTAAATGGTGGTCTTAATGAGGATTTACTGTAAAACAAAAGTTAAACTGTATCTGTAAAATAAATCTGAAAGTAATCAATATCAATCAAATTGTAATCATAATTACTGACTGACTTTAAGCTGTAATTGATTAATTATAATTAATATAATCAGTTTTGGGCAAGGTTATCAATTACATGATGATTACAGTGTAATCATGCAATAAATTAAAAAAATCAATGATTGCGATTAATGATTACCCCAGGTCTGGTTTCGAGCTTCGTACATGAAGTTAGTTTTTCAATTCTTTTTTTTTTTTTTTTTAATTTTTTTTTTTTCGAACTGTAACCCCGTTTATTTTCCTCGTAATAGGTCTGAAGGGGTCGAGGGCATCCCCATCATACCTTACATGTATTGCAAATATAATTCAATCATAATGTATATATCAATCAAGTCATATAATTATACAAACATCTCAACATATATATCAAACAAATCATATACATTATGTCATTATATCACATTGCATAATGATTAAACAGTCTTTCAATTCTTTATACGAGGAAGTCAAAGGCCGGGCTAAAGTCTACGCGTGTATATTTAAAAGAAATTAAATAAAATCAATTAAAGAAAATATAAAATTCTCTACCAATCAATGAAATGTTCAGTGTCAGTCCTTGTAGGGCGCAACCATTTTCAATGTTTTTAACTCACTGATAATAGGCGGGGTATTTTTCGGATTAGTAATAATCGTAGAGTATTCCGAGTGAAAAAGGAAGCGGTGCATGAAATACCGAATGACACATTTAAAACGGAAAAATGAACGATTTTAAACGGACTGACCAACTGAAATTTAACTACATCATTTTTTGGATCTTCATACCACTATCAAAAACAATTCGATTCACACGAAAATCTATGATAAAAGAGATGACTTTGATTTTAGTATAGTAAATTATCCTCATTTGGATGGAGACGTACCGCATGCAACATCTTACGGGGTTTATATATCTCAGTTAATTAGATTCGCTAGAGCTTGTAGCAACGAAATGGATTTTAACGAGCGAAATATTTTCATTACGGTAAGCTACTAAAACAGGGCTACCGCTATTATAAATTACGTAAATATTTTACAAAATTTTACAATCGTAACTTTGATTTAATTTCAAAATTCAATAGCGATCTTAAAACACTTCTGCGACAAGGGATTAGCCAGCCTGATTTTTACGGGGATGTTGTTTACAAACTTCGTAAGATCTTGGATCATTGTAATGTTTCTGTTGTGTTTACTAAAATTATTAAAGGTTTTATT